TCTTGTTGAACTGTGATGGCGTATTCAGTCTTGAAATAAAGACTTTGAAGCAGACAACCCTGCATTGAGACATGTTGTGTAATTGGCAACTTCTAAAGTCACACCTTTACACATCTGATATTCATTTATACATATAGAAATGTCTTTATCTTGACTGCTGAAACTATTTTAGCCTTTAGTATACTCAAACTCTGACCTTGTCAGCTTTTTTACGTTTCTTTTATTACACTCAGAACAAAGGTGCACTGATCCAACAAGCAGGAGTTCAACACACTTTATTGACCCTCCATTTCTTCATCTCCCCTTTGTGCACTACTCCGCTGCAGAGTGCTTCCAAGGTCGACCATACAATTCCTGAATCGCACCAGTCAATGGCAATCATTCCCGTACCACTTGCTCTCGTGCATTTTTTTTCTTTTGACTAGAAATAAGATTTTCACTTCATGAGTGCTAGATGACAGAAAAAATGCTCTAAAACATAAAGCTTGTGAATACAAAAGTGACACTTGACAGGTGTTTTCAAAACTAGGCTAATAGTGGCATTGGTAAATCTCTGCAATCCTTTGTGACAAACACATAAAAGCACACAATATGGAGACCAACAACCAACATACTCAAAGTCTGAGGTGGTACCACATGAAGGGAAAGGCATTTAGGGCTGCAACTAATGATTATTTTCATTACTGATAAATCTGCTGTTATTTTTTATTGAACTATTACTCATTTAGTCTGTGAAATTGTGTATCACAAATTCAAATGTCTTGTTTACTCCGACCAAAACGTCAAAACCCAAAGTTATTAAAAGATGGGGTAAGCAATTCTAGGTTATGTGATTCTAATCCAATACACTTTTTTGTCAAATTCATGGGCCGCTAGCTTTCCGCTCTGTGTGTATGTGCTGAAAAACAATAAATAAATCAAATCTGGTAGTTGTACACAGCCCTGGCACTATAAACGGGGTCGGACCGAGCCACACAACACTAACTTATTATTCCGGCCGTGATTTGTGTGTCATTAAATCACTTTCCCACAGACAGCTTACTTTCTAGTTTGTCAAGATGTGCTGTTGTTGTGATGTCAGCTATAGTAGCAGGAGAGTTGTGAGTATTGCTGTCTGAAGCCAGGCGTGCTACCTCTGGGGAACAGTCTCTTCCTCTCTGCATGTTAGCCACACAGCAGCAACTTTAGCAACAGTTTGTAAACCCACAACAAAGCTATTGTTAGTTACAGTGCTGTGGGGTTCACTCTATATCACGGTATTTGTCATGGCATTGGACTTGTTGAGAATTGCATACCCCACCTTTAATTTTAAATAATATAAAACACAGAAAAGGTTTATATTTGAGAAGCTGGAACCAGAAAATATTTGTAATTTTTGCTGGATTAAACAGCTTTAGTGATTAATCGATTATTAAAATTGCAGATTCCAAGCTCAGCTGCAGCCATGACAACAGTTTGCTAAAATCTTCTTAAAACCAAGATCACCTTCCTTCACAAGTGACCTACAAGTAAAACAATGATTATCTACGATACTAAGATAGTATCAAGAAACTCAGCAATGTCTGTTAATCATCACAAAGTGTTAATAACGTCATATATAGGTGATGATGGCTATTCTGCGCGTAGCAGAGACAAAAAGGGTGAGAAGAGACAAAACAACAAACAAAACAAACAATATCAACAAATAAATTGATTTTCTTTTTTAAAAAAAAAAGAGAGAGAGAGACAACTATATCATAGTTTAGCAATTATTTTCATTACCGACTGATCTACCAATTATCTTCTCAATTTATCATCTATAAAATGTCCTTGGTGATTTCTCCAATCGTCCTGTTTGTCCATCAAACAGTCCAAATCCCAAAAATAATCAGTTTACCATCATCAAATAACAAGAAAAGCAGAAAATATTCACATCTGAGAAACGAAAAAAAAATACTTGAACAATTAATTGATTATCAAAATAGTTGCCAGTGAATTTTACATCAATCAACTAATCAATAATCATTGCAACTCTACTATAGATCACCCATCACATCTGTATGTTTGATGTGCTTATGCAAATACTTTGTTTTTACGCGTATAAATAACACGACTCCAGTATGAAGCTAACGCCCTGACATTAAAAGCAAATATTGACCTACTGCGTAATGCAATATTGTATATTCCAAGAATATATTCAGTACAATAAAAAACTACATGACTCAATGATAAATGTTACCCAGTCGCCTTTACGTTGATGATATGTAGCCACAAGTGAATAATCTGCATAAGCAAATAAGAAAGATGCAGTCGAAATGATTTACTCCACCGAAAACTGTGAAACATTGAGAACAAGTGCATATTCTTTCCTATTATGGAGGACAAATGTTGGCTCTTATAATGATTGACATTTTTTTTTAAAGCGCCTTGTGACGCCTACAGTTCCATCAGTACGCAGCCAAGGCCTTCAAGATCTTGTCAAATGCTAAAATAAGCCTGTTGACTGTCTCGATCTCTCATTGATACCGTGTTTCATCTGCTCCTCAGTCCTTGCAGAGTGACTGCTGACTCAGATAAGATTATCAGCTAGTGAACTCCTCCCGTGTCTGGACTGGCAGGGCACAAGCCCAACACCAAGTGATGTCATATACTGGTCACCTGTGCACCTTATCGCAATCTGATACACTGGAGAAGGTGAGCAGGGCTGAATTTCAACTGTGCACGCTACAAAATTAATGAAATGTGAATTTACCATAAGCTTGAGCTAGGAGGTCAAATCTCCGCAAAATAATAGGGCAATTCAGGATGGCTCAATCACCTATGATCACATAAAATTCCCAAACTGTAAGGGTAATAAAAAGAGATAGTAAACTAGGTCTGCTCGCACACTTCACATGAGAAGACAAGAGCTTCACTTTCAACATAAAACCTTTAACGTGGATTCGGGAGACGTGGATCAGACCTGCTGGTGGGGTGCCTGCTCATTAATAAGGAAAGTCAGAGAGGAACCTCTTGTTTGGAGTCAGTCAAACTGGAAATAAGCCCTGGTTGCATGAAAGCTTACAGAAATTCCTACTGACTATATATATATAGGGGCATAAGAAATACTAGAGATGATTGACAGGTTAGATTACTGATCTGAGTTGTTGCAAAAGAGTGACTTACTTAACTGAGCACATCAGACACGTCACAAACAATCTTCTAAAATATCTAGAGAGATAACTGGATGCAAGGTTTGGGAATTTAGTTGCAGGAGTCCTCATCTCGCCGCTGATCGCTCTCAAAACATAAAAAAAACAACAAGCACTAATAGAAACCCACATTTAAAATCCACTTTTATTAATATATCCTTATTATAATTCATCATATTTTTCATAAACAGTGCGAGTTACGCTCGATCACGAGTGCTCACGTAGGGCCGTGCGGCTGTATACGTAAAGCAAGGTTAGGAGTTCTGAGCCAAGCCCATGTTTATGGTCCTGTACATTTTAAACAGCTGCCTTGTGCCTATAGACCTGCCCCTCCCTGATAAAGCCTGGAATATGCAATATATAAAAAACATTACATAGAAACAAACATTGCAGCTGACTTTGCTGTACATGCATTTAGCACAAACCTACAACAGCCAACTTGACCGGTTATTAACCAAAACAATGCATTCTAGCTAATTGTTTACATGTGTTTAGTTTCAGTTTCAGGAGTTTATTATGGTTAATTTAAGTTATTCTGACGGTTATTCAGCTCCACAGTACCTACTGAGCATTATCCCCCAAGAAAAAGTTAAGCTATGTATTGTTATATACCTGAGTAAATGAGTAAAAATCAGATAGTTGAGGTAAGTACTGAGCAGTAGAGAGTTGGAGAAGTGTTTGGGAGGAGCAGTGTTGTTGCCGCAGTGAAACATGACTGGTTATAAACACCTTACCAGCTTGTGACTAACATTAAGTGTTATCTGCTTAGATTACATTTAATGTGTACTGACTGATTTCACAGGGCTTCAACACAGATACAAGACGTAAAAAACACAAGTGGGGGGGGGGTTATAATTACAATGTAAGGTCACTGCACACACAACAGAACACACAGTGGCTATTAAACTAGCACCACATTCATTTTTTTTTTTTTTTTGTATGTGCACATTGACGGTAAACTCACTTTAATTAAACAGGGCCTGCTTTGCTGTGCTCGTTTTAAAATCTGTTGTTATATCGTGACAAATGCCATTACAGTGCCCACACATCCACAGCTCACCACTGACACCCATACGACAAAGTCCGCTAAGCTGTCATTAGCTGGTTATAGCCAGTGTAGCCTGTACCGTGCTACATTAGCCCGCTTGGGACCAGACTAAACACTGGACGCCATCGTGGTTTTTTTTTTTTTTTTTTTTTTTTTTGCTGGTTAACATTTTTAATATTTGCTTTTTTAAAATTTGCTTTCATTCAGAAAAAAAAATGTTTTGACTCGCCGTCGTTGCCCCCCCTCTCACCTCACCCCTCCCCCTCACCTCACCCCTCACCCCCCCACCACCAAGTTAGTTAGAAACTTCCCATGATGGCTCGGGTTTTATTTTTTATTTGGCCAATGCTCACGTTACTACACAACTACACAACTACACAACTACACTTAATGTTGCATGAAGCTACCGGACTGTTTTTGGAAATGCGTTTCTGTGTTAAATACCAATCCACTGACCACATGCTGAACTCCATTCCCCTAAACACTGAACTCCCCCCACAACACACACACACACACACACACACACACACACACTAACGCAAAGGCCTACTGTGTTGATACGAGCTAACGAGCCAGCTCGGCTTGCTAATGTTAACTTAACAGTTAGCTGTCCCTGAAGCCAACGCACCCCCCCCTTACTAACACACACACACACACACACACACACACACACACACACACACACACACACACACACACACACACACACACACTTAGAGAGAGAGAGAGCTTGTCAAACTCAAGCTAATGACGTTAGCGCCCCATACTAGCATGCTACTTACGTTTTCCTGCTTGCTGTGAATTTCGATCCAATCTTGATTATCTGCGGGATTTCTGCGTCTGTGTGAAGATGTGTCGGTAACCTCGCTGTCTACGGAGCTCACGTCAGCTGGCTAGCCGTGTTATGTTTCCTTATTTTGACAGAAAAAAAATAAAAAAATAGTGGAGATTGGCCTCAGAAGAGCGGCGATAATTCCTTTCTCGGTGGTTCCCTGCTTGGACAGCGTTGATTTTTACGCATTTTTGACGCCAGTTCTGTCGCTCACATTAAATAAAGACAATTCCGATCGCTCCGAAACAAATATGGACACTGGGAATTGGTTATATTATACAACACCGACAAAAATCTAGCACTTTCTTCAATTGAAAGGCCAGAGCTATCCTTCGACTTTGGGTGCTGAACAAGAGGAGGTGTTATTTTTGGCATATGCTCGGTGATTGGTTACGACGTCCGGGCGAAACGTCTGCTCATTGGCTGCGTCTCCTGTCAATCAGCTCTGCCCCTGTCATGAGCTGCATTCTCATTGGTCTGTTGCCGTGGTTCTGTGACGCAGTGGATCTGTGGATGCGTTTTGGCGTACGCCGAAGCAAATCCGGACAGGCGGAGTTAGTCTTGAAATATAAACGTTCAACGCCGCGGCGGGAGTCGATTGAACGCAATCTGGCGGCCAAGAGTCAAAATATAAATAAAATAAAAGATGGCACATTTGAAATATGTTATTACCCTCATCCTCTGTATGTTAAGTTACCCCACACACGGGCATGACTGCCCTGGAGTTAATAACAAGCGCAACCTCATTCAAGCACAGCACTGAAGGGGTTCCAGTGGGAGAACAGAAGAAAGAATTGTTCCATTTTACTATAATTCACTTGAAATTATGCCATTTTAAGAATTAACACACAGATATTAGGTTTCACTCCCTACAGCCTATAATTTGTATAGACATTTAGGTATTTCAAAACTAAATCCAACAGAAATCTAATCATAAGGGAAGAAATCTAACGAAATAGAAACTGTGACAACAGGTTGTTCATGTTGAGAACCTGAAGGATCAACTTTACTGTCAAGACCCAACGCATGGTCATTAATTAACTAAATGTAAGCAGTTTTGCTTCACTTTTACACTTATATTAGGTGAACATTGCCACCTTGTAGGTGTAACAGCTCATTCTCGATGCATACAGGTGATTGATTGTGTCACCTCTTAAGTTTAAGTCATGATACCCTGTTTCTAATCAGTCAAACCTTAAAAAAAACCTTGTTAATTGTGTAAGATAACACTGTTCCTAAAAATATGCCTGTTTAAATATAGAACAATACCCGGACAAAGGTTTTGACCCTCTTGCACTTTGCTCTCAGGGTGAAGGACCTGAAACAGTCACAGCCAAAATCCCATGTAGTCTGAATTGTACTGATCTTTTCTTTACTCCTTATCTGGTGTTCGACATGCAGCTACACCTAGTCTTGAACATTGACCCCTGCGTTACTGGCCTTTTTCTGCATGCGTCAAAAGAAATTACACCGTTATCTCCTCACTGATCATATAGGGAATGGTAATTATTACTCCAACACTCTTCTATACTAACCTTTTTAAAGAGGAACTCCAATTTCAGCACAGAATCTAGTTAGGTGGTACGGTTGAAGCCACATTGGAAAGCCAATAGAGGAAGGAGGCACCTCAAGCTCAATTGAGCCACAACACACATCCGCACAAACGGACACTGTACCCAAGACTGGATTACCAACGGGCACAGTGAGGAACTTCCCCCGGGGCCACAGTAGTGTTAACAGGTTGTAGTTTGCTGTAGAAAAACTGTACATATTGAAGGGAGAACAGGAGGATGAGGGTGTTAAGAGGAAGCTAACAACTTGTTTTTGCCCCAGGGGGCTACCTAGCAGGTTAATCTGGTACCTGCAAGAGAGTTTAAAATCAGAGTCATTCAGAAATGCAACACAGTTGGCCTGATACAGCAGACTGCATGGCTTGGAGGACAAATAGGAAATAATAAGAATGTTTTTCATTCAAATGAAACATTGGGTCAAGGATTTGCAGCAGGATTAGAACATGTTTTACATGAGCTCTGCCTGGTCTCCCAGTGAGAGATATCAGTGTAATTTGGAACAACACCAAAGTATTTGTTCCTCATTTCCAACTTATTGCCTTTATTAGTGAGTCAACAGTAGACAGATGACCCAAAATAATACGGGAAAGAGAGATGGGGAACGTTATGTTAACAAACATCCACTCATACCAGGGATGTTGCAGTTCATGGTCAGGGCATAACACCTCCAAACCACCAGGCAGAGGGGGCAAAAGTATACACATTCTTCTATTCTACCAGCTGTTGCTGTGCAAAGCTAACTGAAACTTCAAATAGGGTCCGGTCTCCGTCTCTTGTCTGTCGTGTGATACACAACAGTCGTGATTTCGGGAAGGTGTGAAATGAAAAACAATAATCGATAATACTCCTCAGATGCATTCAAATAAAGTCACAAGCCTGTTTTGAAAATGTAAGGAGTAGATAGTACAGATATTTGTGCAAAAATATAGGCAGAGAAAGTGAAAAAATATATAGTCAAGTAAAGCACCTTAAGGCCTCAGTATGATTCAAACAAGTCAGATCATCTAACAGTGTCTGAAAGCCCCTCGCTGATGTCACAATAGAGTTAGAAAGTGGGAGGAGATACCTGGAAGCAGAAGTCTCATTCATTTCCTCCACAGACAACGTGGCATTAAACTCTCTCTGTTTAATCATCAGTACAAAACATGAGACGACTAGAAAATATTACTCTTTCATAAAAAGTTAAAGCTACATGATTGTGTACATTAAAATGTAAAGAGAAAAGTTAAAGAAACATCCAATCACAGAGCTTAAAATGATATTACAGCTAATGGGGGCTAAAGATTAAGGTGTTAAGAAAACTAACAATAAATCATTTGAATTCTGTGTTTGCTGCTCGGCCTTACTTCCTCTCTACGGCAACAGTAGCCAAGGCTCAAGGGTATCGTAGTGTAGGCTGCATGAAACAGAGTTGAAATAATTAAAACTGGGCTGTTACATTATCAAGGAGACTCCTGTGATGAGAAAACATTGAGGATATTGTTAAAAATGGGTTCTTTTCAAGCGTACTGAAGTCTTTACTCTGCAATATACGGTGTTCAAAAAAAAAATCAGCGAAAGGATTATACACATTAAAATACTTACAATATAACGAGATAAACATTGGTGGATTTTTGAGAATATTCTTTCACTACCAGAGTATGAATAAAAATTATATTCTAGTCAATTGAATGTGCAATAAATAAATAAAATGTAGGCTGCAGTGAATAAAAACTGTGGTGGGAAGATTAAAGAATAAACACGAGTATAAGTGTGTGTATAAAGATGTTTAGTTAGATAGTGTATCAGTGGATCAGAACTATGGTGTTTGTGTGTGTGTGTGTGTGTGTGTGTGTGTGTGTGTGTGTGTGTGTGTGTGTGTGTGTGTGTGTGTGTGTGTGTGTGTGTGAGGGGAAAGCTGAGCAAACGGCTTATCCGTTGTCATTTTGTGTTTCTCCCTCAGGATTAGACTTGTGTCTTATTAATGAAAAACTCATCAGATATCAGAACATTTCCCTGAGGAACCAACCAGGGTTATGAGACACAGGTCAGATTAAGACCCTGTTTAAATGTGTGTGTGTGTGTGTGTGTGTGTGTGTGTGTGTGTGTGTGTTACAAGAAGATAGAGAGTGTGAGCTAACAGAAGACAGACAGCAGAGTGGTATTTAATTTTCCAAGATGGGGGATTATCACTGGCAGAATTTGATCATTCTGCTCTGATCAGGATGTTCAATCACAGCTTATCCCAAATATTAAACTCTCTGTCTTTTGTCCCCCTTTCCCTCAATCCCTCACACACACACACACACACACACACACACACACACACACACACACACAATATTTTACTCCAACTGCAGAGCTTCTCATTGAGTAAAGTGGCCCGCTGAGCCTACTGTCAGGGTGGTGTGTGTGATTGTTCAGCCACCTGGTCACCTCAGGGGATGGGTGAGAAAGGGGGGAGAAGGAGGAGGATGAAGGGGAGGAGGAAGAGGACTTGTAGGGTGGGTTGGGGTGAGAGGGGGGTCTCTGGTGGGGGGTGATGCTAGGGTTTAGCGTCTTATGGAGGCAGCTGAGGAGAGTAAATTAAAAAACTGTTACGTCTAATCCGGAGCGCCAAGAACAAGTGGCACACACTCCAAAATCTGATCCCTCGTGTTTACATGGATCTGGATGAGCTTAAGCACACACACACACACACACACACACACACACACACACACACACACACACACACACACAGACGCCAACAACATACGCACACATTCCCTCAAATGATATGCACACATGCACTTACATGCATACATACACACATATTCCCTGCTGCTAAATACTCTGTGATTGTGTCCCGGGCCGGACAGAAAGAGGAGGGAGGGCGGGGGGCAAAAGGGGGGGGTTGACGGGAGGTACACGGCCCTGATCTGCACTCTCATTTTCAGCCTGGAGGATCTGCACCCGGGACATCTGGGTCACATCATTACAGCAATCTTCTGCTTGTTCATTCCCAGCTTTAAAGGGCTTAGGGTGACAGACCTGCACACAAACACTCACACACAGCACACACACACATACAAGGATAAAGATATATATAGACAACATGTAACAGTCGAGTACAGTGAAATAAAACATGTCTGAAAGAGATTGATGGTTGATCTTCAGATGTTAAGATAGTGAAATTGCTCAGGATACACATGCTGTTTAAAGAAAGTGTGTGTGTATGACAAGTACATTTTTCTGAATAGCTGGATTGAAAAGGAAATATAAATAACTGTAAGACGACTAGAGACACACTGCCCTCCATCACTCACCTGTCAAAATGTTCTGGAGCAGGATAAACACGTGTAGAGTGACAGAAGCTCCGGCCTCTGTCTGCTGCAGCTGTACCGCCCTCTAGTGGTCAAAGGTTGGCTTCACAACAAAGTAGCAGCTCCAACTGTCCACTAAAAGTTGCCAAGAGCCCCTCTGTCTTCAGTAAAAAGGAACATGTATCTCATGTATGAAAGAAAAATGTTGTGCTCTGCTGTGTGTATACCGTAAATCATTTTATAAGAAGATCTGCTCTATCTTAAAAGTGTCCTGAGATAACTTTTCTTATGATTTGGCGCTATACAAATAAGACTGAATTTAACTGTTGATGATCAGTATTGATGATGACTGTCAAGCTGCTCAAATGTGTTGTTAATTGTTGTTATTTTATTATTATTATTATTATTACTTTATTATTATTGTTTACTGACTTTTTAAATCTTTACTCTATCTTTCTGCCAACTAATATAATTCTTGACATGACTTACTGAAACAAACAAGTTAGACGTTGTTTATTGTTCTTGTTATTATTATTATAAGAACAAATACTACATACACTACGTGTGTATAGGCTAAACAGAAAATATGACTCAGAGATATAAGAAGAAAAAACACTAATCTATATAATTTCTTCTTTGTCTTATTTGTGTTATATATTTTTATTTTATTCAACCCTGTGTATGTCTTATTGACAATATATAATTAGGTATTTTTCTTCTTATATTGTCTTGTGTTGCTTTTATATTGTGTCTGTGTCCTATGTAATTAAATGCAGGACCTTATTGCTGAAAACTGCTATACAGATAAACCTGCCTTGACACTGGTTGTGTAATTCCTCTTATACGTAAATGTAAATGTAAATGTACATCTTTTAAAAACAAAGGAAGCAACGATGTCCTTTGTTATTTTAGTCATTGAGTCACAATATCACACCTGATATCATGTTTTGCTGGATATATTTCATGTACAGTCCAACAAAAACCTGCTCTGGAGGGAATGACACATGAGTGACGCGCAGACAGTGTCAGTTAATAACACACCTGTTGAGAGAAGCTGAGAAACCTCTGTGTTTATTTCTGGGCATTGCTGCATACTTTAGAGTTGTACCTGAATATACCACCTACTTGTTATGGTCGGGGATTACAGCATGACGTCACCACTGCGCAGTGCAGGAAGTACCCTCCCTCTGAGTGAGTGAGTGAGTCAGTTCAGGGGGGTTTGCCTTGCTTGCCCACCAGGTGAGGGTTGCTCTAAAAACTCTGCTCCAGGTGAGGCTCGAACTCACAACCTCGGCATTGCTCTGCTGAATACTGTCATATAAGTACCGCGCGCTAACCGATTGCGCCACTGGAGCTTCGGCGAAAGTCGGACAGGAAATCGATTTATGAAAGAAAAAGGCACATGAGAAGAACGCGTATATTCTTTGATTTAATTTCTGTTTTGAATCAGTGTAGCGGAAACAGGATGGGAACTTCTCCGGGCGCCGGTGGTCACACAGTCCAACAGCTTACACAGAGCCGATTTACGTGCTGTGTTCGAGTACCTCACAAAGCTCCGACTTCCAACTACGAAGGGAGAAATTATGTCTTCCGTGTTTTAGCGTTTTCTTGCTCGACAAAACAATAAACAACACGAGTCTAAACATGTGTTTTATAAGGAACTAATAATAATGCAGACTTATATACTTGACACATCCTCATTCTTTAGTCTTTTTTTACTCTTTATGAGCACAAGTAAGCACTAAAACACAATCTTCAAATTAATGCTGGTTTATATACTAGTACTAATACTAAAATGTCTGCCATTTAAAATGCATTAACTTCATCATGACCAGTTGTAAAGGATTGTACGCTGGATAATAAACAATACAATACAAGATGCATAAAAGCACAAGTGAAATAATATTAGGTAAAAAGAAACTGGAAACATATATGTACTGTATGAAAACACATAAAATATGAAGAAACTCAGTTCATTTATGTAGTTTTCACCTTTCTATACAGATTTAGCACAAGTATTTAATATCAGAACCACTCAGTACATACATTATATGGCCAAAAGTATATGGACAGTGACTTATTAGGGCTGTATTTCATGGTTTGCATTAGGCCTCTTAGTTCCCTTCCTGTTTCAAAATTCAACAATGCCTCTGTGCACAAAGTCAGGGCCATGAAGAAATAGTTTTTTTAAGACCCCAAACACCTGCTGGCACTCAGACTTACTCACCAAATATTCTAGTTGGTCTCTCGGGCGAGTCCAGCAATATATGTTATTTTTCTGAGGAAACTTCCTCCTTCAAAACAAAACTATTGATGAAGCGTGCTTGTTCGGAAAACAGGTATTGGTTTAATTAAAAATCCACCCAGAACGGGCACTGACATTGGCCAACATCTATAAACAGTCATTTTACAGTATGATTACACTGCACTTGCTCTTCGATCATCTCAAATACAGTACAACACCCTTCTCGGGTCGATATTACATGCTGTTTTGTCTTTGGAGAGTGTTGAGTATGATGTCAAGTGAAACTGCTGTACTTATGTATAATAAGTAATAATATGACATAATTTGATCCTACAGTGTAGCTACATGCTTTTGGATTACAAATAATAGTCTACTGTCTCTCTAGTATCACAGAAATTATAAATAGGTAAGTAATTTTGACTTGGTCTCAATTTTGAACTCAAATCACTTAGGACTCGGTCTTGACTTGTCCTGGTCTTGGACTTAAAGGTGGTGGCACTCGCTGATCACATATTATGCTTAATATGCTGAAGCTACTTTTCTAATCCTGCAGTCTCACGTGCCTAGTAGCTGAAACACAATTTCAGGTCAGCTTTAATCTAAACATTGTTGTTCACGCTCTGTGTCTGATTTTCACCCTCAGCGGGAACCACCGGCTGTATGGAAAATATGTCAGAAACAAAAGCACCCAGCAGTTGACTGTAAAAGCTCTGTAAAGCTCTGGACATAACAACAGGGGCTGTGTCAACACACACACACATACACACACACATACACACTCACTGAGGTACCTTGAGGCAGACTGTAAGCTTCCAAGAACATGATTTATGGGGAGAACACTACTCATTCCTCATCACTGTGTCAAACTGCCATATTCTGTGGGGGTATTTTACAACATCCTCACACAGGCCACAGTGTATATCATCTATTACACTCCCCCTCAAGAGCAGCACAAAGACAGAGAGACGGAGTAGGTGGCTGGGAGACAGGGCAGCCTGTCAGAAAATAACACCACAAAATGACTCACTGGACACCATAATCCGGCATTGTGTTGTTGTTGTTGTTTGTTGTTTTTTTATTTATTATTCTCAGCATATTCATAATTCAACACATGACATACAGGAAACACTAACATAAACATTCTGAATGAAAGAGAAGAAATCATGTGACCCAATCGGTCAACCGAGGCTCTCGCCTCAAAGACATGCGGCGGCGATGCCAGTTTTAAAACTCATAATTAAACACACCTGAATGCTGGATGGGTCGACCCGGCAACTTTTTGAGGCAATATTGTCATGTTAGCAAGGAAGAGAGAGATTGATAGAGAGATAGAGAGGTCTGAAAACAGGATGACTGTTGGCTTTTAAAGATTAAATGTAATTAAATGTAAGCAAACAGCTTGCTGGCAAAGTTGCTCATCTTTTTTTTTTTTTGCCTCAAAATGTTGCAGGTACATCGCAGCGTTGAGGAAAATATGACAGATCCATGCCCTTTTCTGCTGCAAAGGAAGTGCTTTAGTACCCCATGTTAGGGCTAGGTAGGTACAGTCGGCCATAGAAATAGGATGAGAAGATTTACAGTGCCGTAATGAGATATACAATATATTATACACTGGTTCATGAGGGAGGCTTATGCTGTTTGATGTAAGCTGGCTCTCTATTTCTTCCCCTTGTTATATTTTCCTGCAGATTCGTCTTGATTAACCGACAGCTTTTTGGGTAGAGTTACAGAAGGTTTGTATAATAATGTCTCCAGGTTGTCAGTCTTCAACACCGGCTCCAGCTCATTGATTTTAAACTTCAGAAAGAGAGTGAAAAACTGCAGGTAAAACACAATTTTTAAAGCAGCCGTTTTCGTAAAAAAAGGCCGCTGGTTCAGTCTTCGTATAGTGCATTATCTTTTTAACGTCAAGCGTTGGGACATTTGCCTCTTCTCCAATTTTTAAAAGAACCTCAGTCCCCCCAAGAATGCAATCCCACCCCCGCCCTCCCCACCCTAACCCATACAGCCCCATGCCCCCACCCAAAATAACTTTATACAAACTGATAAAACTTCACAACAATTCACCATCAACACAAAAGGTCACACAAAGTTCCGTCGTTATGTCCATCCATAAAAACCAAGAACAGCGCACGTCAACTTCCCCTCGTTCTTTTCATGTGTTGTTGACATGATCTCACACACACACACACACACACACACACACACACACACACGCATCCAAATACAGTATGTACACATACAAACACATTCCCAGGGGATTAACAACAGGCAGCACTTGCTGTCAGGTCAGGTCTGGTGTATGTTTCTATTGCATCACATCCTTCTGTTACCAACAGTTAGATAGCTTGTTTAAGTGTTGTCAAGGATTATAACGGTATTTTAAGGGACTAAAAGCAAAGGTTTTTTTTTTAGAATAGGAGGTGAGAAATTGTTAGTGTATATGCATTAGAGGTGTGGAGGTCGGAGGATCCAATCAGTCGTGGATGACGATGGGGCCTCGCATCCTCAGGCTGGGGTGAGGGTGAGGAGGGGCGAGGACGAGACCCTGCGGCGGGCCCTGGGAGACCCTGCGCAGGGTGATTTGCTCGCAGGGCTGCCGGCAAGCGTGCCTCAGCTGGGAGCGGGACAGCAGCCGTCTGGCCCTCCTGCAGGGGTGGAGACAAGACAGGATATAAGTGCAGAAGAAGATACAGTAATGCAAAGCTAATATTAGCAAAAGCTCCAAATTGAGTTAATGCTTGACCTTGGAAACAGTAGATAGAAGTAGTAACTGTTGAATCGTAGACGAAATAATCACCAGTTTTCCCAATTATGGTTTCCAAGGTCAAGAATTATGTTTTTTTAACCTCAAACTTTAAGCCAACATGGACGAGAAGTCCTTAAAGTAGCTCCAGAACAGTTTATTAAATGGACCTCGTGGTGAGATTTGTTTTGTCAATGAAAACTAGTTCTTTAGGTGGTCGTGCATGTAACAGTTAATTTGTAGTATAATGTTTTGTTTTGGTGTACTTCTTAACCCATTTCCCAGATTGCCCATTCCTCCTTCCTAGAAAGTCTTTGTTCTTATAGTTTCAGTAACTTTTATTGATCATAGACGTGTTCTTTTATCAGTCTGTCTGAAAAGCTGAAGTATGTTCTGGAGTTTTCTACTACTGTCCTAGATAGTAAAATTTTAACATGTTGTCATTTTAAAGCACAAATTGATGATTTTGTGAACTCAACACGGACATATCATCACCTATGTGAAGTTGGTATGTGCACTCTTATAGCTCTGTTTGGGTCTCCACCAACCCCCCCTGAGAAAAAATATCTGGCTATTTAAGTGCTAAATGCTGCACTATAACATTATTTGGTTTGTTTGGTGCTGCCTGCTATATCTGGAAACAAGGCTGATGTAAACTTTGAAACCGTACAAGCAATATAATGAGCTGAAAGACAGTAGAACTGCAGTGCTGGGTGATAATTATCTGTGGGGGTTACACATTACACATAGTAATATGATCCGTTGTTAATATAAAGATATTGATTGGAGCAGCTTTAACCCCAATAAAATGACTATTATTTTGTTAGTTTACATCTTAACACTTTCCCACTATCAGAGCCTTGTTGGAGCTGTAGTTGTTGACAGTAATTGTCACTTTATGTTGGTTAAAATGATAGAGTGCTTACATTTAATTATCCATCACAGAAGTAAATACCTATACATCTTATAATATTGCTGCGGAGGGTAGCTATTAGAGGGGAGCGCAGTACGAAGACTGGAAACGGGGAAATCATTGCTAGTTCCCAATTTAAAATCCCACCTACCAGCACTTCTAAATTTCACTAATTAACAGATTATATCAAATTAAAAAAAACAACAACTTCCTGGTTAAGGGGAGGTTACGCCCTTGGCTCTGAGCAGTTGCCAGGCAACCAGCTGAAACTCTAGGCAGCTTCCTGACCAAGAAATTGACGTTTTTTTTTTTGTTGTTGTATGGATTAAATAAACGAGATACAATTTGTTAATCGGTGAGTTTTAGAGGTGCTGGAAGCAGGTTTTGTTACCCATTGGACAGAGCCAGGCTAGCTGTCTCCCTCCCCCCGCACTAAGTTAGCTGACTGCTGGCAGTAGCTTCATATTACAGACACGAGAGTGGTATCCACTTTCTCATCTAATTCTCAGCATGAAAGCAAATAAGCGTTTTTCCAAAGGTGGATTTTAACTGCTTGTGTGTGCTTTGGGAAATCTATGTTGACAGTTTCAATCTTCATGGAGTATGTTTTGAATAGTGTTTGAGTGCCTGATATTCAAACAATACAGATCAAATTAGCCTGCAGAAAATACTTATTTTAATACATTATTTATTCATAGCTGACCACAGACTTGACTCATTACTGCAGCCACCTATGGGATCCTCACTTGCTGTACAGCACTATACTGCAATGTGGCAGCAACAGCCTGCAGTAAAAAGGGATGCCAGCACATTGAAACAATGATGAAACTGGCTTTGGGCTGTGGGCTTTATGAGACAGCTTATTTTTCATGTATACTAAGTTTAGTAGCAGTATGACAATAATCCATGCTACTGGTGATTAATCACTTGATTGTTTGGTTGTAAAAATGTTTTTCACAGATTCTGTTTTTAGCAATGTCTCCTATCTATGAAGAAAATGTTTCCTGTTTTCTGTGTTCAGCACACCTAAATATAACGGCTTTACTAAAGTGTAAAGCCTCCCCTGCAATAAGTGACACATTCAGGACATAAGCTGAAGAAACTAATAATGAAAGAAATTTCATTTGAGTGTAAAAGTTCAGTTTAGGGTGCCAAGTTCAGGCTGCTGAAAAAGTAATTAGAAACAATCTCACTTTTTCTCATTTCAAGAAGATTCACTAAAGCAGAGTTCAAAATGTATTGAGCACCAGTAATAGAGTTCTTAATATATATATGTTATGAGGTAAGAGAGAGGTACATCTCTGCAGGATTTTCAGGCTTACAAAGGAGCTCGTGGTAATTTTCAGACTGCAGTAGGCTTTGTGCTGTGACAGGAAGTCTCAGCCCACAGCGACCAATAGCACTAAAGCCAAGACCATGGGGCACTCACAAATGTTGGACACGGCACTAATGGAATTCATTTCGAGACAAATGCAAGATGCATAACCACAGTGTTTGAGTGATTGCTCATGGTTTCCTTTAGGCCTTCAAGAAAAAAAAACACTTGAAATATAATGCACAGCAAAGTCCTCTTGACAAGCTCTAATTTTCTCTGCAGCACCAAGGATGTTTTCCTTGTATTGTGAACCGGAAAACACATCAGATCCCTGCTGTTGATAAGATGAGCTGCCGTGTATATTATGTCCCTACGGGTCCGAGTACAGTAAACGTGTCTGAAAGTGCATGCAAGACTTGTGCATCTAAAGTACACACACGTACAATGAACCCTGCGAGTGACTACTGCACAGCGTGACACGTATTGTCGGTTAGAGTTAGAGCAGAATATAAACCGGAGAGGAACAGAACAGATTTAGCTCTGGTGGCACATTATCTAAAGCTCTGCTGTTTGTCTGTTCAGCTGGCCGTCGGGAGAAGGAGAGCAAACATGTAAATCCACGCTCAAACATATCAAGCTGTCTCATTTACATTTCTATCTCGCTTTCTCTTGTTCTGTTTCCTAACATGTCCAATTTTTGATTCTTTGTCCTGTTATTTCTCTGTCCAAATCCAACTTCTCTGTATCTTATATTCGGTACGATGAACGATGGAACTATTACTCAGATCCTTTACAGATCTAGAGTCCCTCTCCACTCGATAAAATATACAGTCGGATGTTTGAGCTTCGCTGTGCTGAATGATGTATGTGCAGAGTTTGAGACTATTTTTATCTGTTGAAAGTGAAATGTTTCTCTGCGCTCATCGAAAATCTGATTTTAAGGCCGTGATTTGTGACATTACAAATAATTTGGAGGTCAATCCTGGTCCAATTCATGTAGAAACTCGAAGCTGCCAGTGCACACACACTGAGAATGGACTTCACAGTGAAGTAGGAGACAGCTTGTGTCCAGCAGAAAACCTAAATAATAAAGAAAATGTACATTTTCATAGATTCTGGAATTTTTAATGTGGTAGAAGTAGATGATGCCCTTTTATGGATTTTAACATGGAAATTATACTTTATGGAAAATACATCCAACACACATTATTGTTCCAAAAAGGGTATTTGTATATATGTCTTAATACATGTCTGGAGGGGATCTTTCAGTGAAAGTACCAATCCTACAGTGTAAAAATGTGGGAGTGAGCTCCCTTTCCTTCTCTCTGCTCTGTGACACACAGCTTCTTCATCATGCTGGGAGAGAGAAAGAGTGGGATAGGGAGACAGAGAAGGGGAGAAAATGAAACTTCCGATCATTTCTCATTAGCAGCAGCCTTTCAGAGCAGATCTATTAATGTCTTGTGTTCAGAAAAGTATTCATTGTCTGTAAAAGGAAAGAAACTGACAGCATAATATAACAAAGGGCAAGGTATTCAGAATGATGCCCGCTCTCTCAAACACAAACACACAGCCATCATGATCTTGGTGCGAACTGATTGATCCATACGAATGCAGCCATGGTTAATGTGGTAATGATATTTCCACTCAAGACCCAGCGGTGCCTGGCTCCTCGCTGGCCCATCTGCACCAGTTAGCTGCTCTAATTTTAGCCCCGACGGTCGGAGGGCGGCTGTGAGGGCTGGGTGCCATGGCTCATTTAGACACAGGCTTAATGGAAGAACATCTTTCTCTCTCACATACAGACATGCAAACATTGACTCATTGTGTGCATACGAGTGTGTGAGACAGTGTGAGTCTATGTATGTGTGAGAAAAATAAAATTAACTGATTTTTTTTATGTATGAAACATAAATGCATGTTTATTCAACAGTATATTAAATCGTATCTATATCTAAATGATAGTCAATGTTTGCAAAGAGAAGCTGAATGTGCAAAAAATCGGCTGTTTGGGGTTCTTGAGATATTTGGATCAGTAGTTTTCAAAATGGATACTAAATATGACACTTGCACTGCAGTCTTACGCAAGTTATTTGTTTACAAGGCAAAAGAACATCAATACCCGCCTATATCAGTCAGTGGGAAGCAGAATATTAAAGGATGCTGAGGCATCACATTCTGTGTAGAGCTGTTTATGGAGGAGCTAATCAATTTTATTTCCTTATTATTCGTTCAGCATCAGCTGATCATCATCAGATCTTACATTTCTGCTCACAATTTCATATAATTCAATTTGAGTCTTGAATAAATAATAATATCTCTACAAATGCAGCATTTAACAAGACTTAGAGTCTACAGCCATGCTTGCAGCTCTGTCGGGGTAAATGCTAACATCAGCATGCCAACATACTCACGCACATGAGCATGCTAATTAGCACAGCTGAGGCTTTTGTGGGTAGTCTATTTAGTCATAAAGTATTTGAAAAATTAATTTTTTTACAAGTTATTACATTTCATCCTGAGGGGAACATGAATGTCTGTACCAGTAACTGTTGAGACAGTTCACTGAAAAACAAAAAATGTCAAATTCTAGACAAAAATATTGGCAAAATCAAAGTTTAAAAAAGTAAAGTTGTTGAGATATTTCAACCATCTGGACCAAATTGCCACATACCATTAGAGCCACCTGGCTAGAATAGGCAAAAAGTAACTGAACTGATCATGGCAGCAATAATTAAATGTATGTAAATCTAGCATTTCTATCATATTGGGTAGGCCAAAGTTCAGCCTCGAGTATCTAAATTCAGGACCATAGACAGGAGATTTGAAATACTGAGGTCAGGGGTCGAAGTCCCTGCAACAACCTCATCTATAAAATTCTCAAAATGTTTTGATTTTTCATATTTTACATATGGTTAGGTGTTCAATTATAATCTAAGTAAGCATTCCTACATAAACCCATTACTAATCTGATGTCAATTAATGTTTCAACCTATCATGTCATAGATCTACTGAGCCCTCTAGCAGGCGACACCATTCTCTAATACTGATCTAACATACTTTTAAGCTGCCTCTAAATTATACATTCACCCTAGCAAAAAGCCGATACTTAACCAGACTTTATATCTACACTGTATCTCCTTAGGCTAAACTACAGTGGCTGACCCAACTAGCCAAACATATCTGGATTCACTCTGTCAATATTGGTTTCTTAGCCGTATAAGCTGCATTAGTGTCTTGATGAAAATAAATAATTCAAATTGATTTTAATCGATTTAACATTTTCAAAACAAGACATTTCTACAACCTTAGATGGTGCACAGTGACAAGAAGACTCTGCAGGCTTTAGGATTTAGTCACATATGTTGTAAAGCTGTCTGAGGTCACCACAGGACAAAAATAACTCACAGAGGAACTGCCTCTTATCTGCTGTCCCTGTCTGCTCTCAGTATCACATGCTTTCCCTTCATATACACACACACACACAGTCAGCCAATCAGAGGTCAGAATAGGGTCACCTTTGCTTACCTGGTCTCCCGGGTGACGAGGAAGAAGCTGTCATCAGGGGCATCGATCCAGTTGGGGCGTCTCTTGCGGATCATCACTCCACCCCGGGTGTTTCCACTGCTGCTGTTGCGGCCGTTATGCTGCAAAAAGACAATTAAATATTATTTTAATATTTAAAAAAAAAGCAGTGATGCAGTTGTACAGGGTTTGTTTTTGGGTTTTTTTAAAAGAGAGAGTATAAGACACCTACCAGGAGGGGTCCACCTGTTGTACCTGGGTTCTCTGCAAAAACAAGAGAAAGATGCAAAGAATGCATGAGGGAATCTGTCACTTGTAAATAGTATTGATTAGTTTATTACTTTTCCTAGTTACAAGTGGTGCAACAAATGACTGTGTTTCAATTTCAGTAAAAATAGTGAAGTTACCAATAAAAAACAAAGTGTCAGACTGTAGTTGAATCATCCAAATTATCCAAATGACCCCCATCTGCTGATTCGTTTTCATTAGAATTAGTTGTCATTCTCTCCAACGAGCTAGTTTAGATAAGAAATGGCAGAAAAGGTTATCAACTCCGGGCGTATGTCCACTAATTTGATTTTATCAAGCAAAAGGATGACAAGAGCATTGGATATGAACACTGTTTGGTCCCCAAGGTTCATTCACATCATAAGTAACTTATTTAAAAGCAAGACGGGACGCATTTTCCAATTTTTTTGTGGTGGGGGGGGGGGGAGTTCAACAGATGTAATACAAGTAATGACTTTCTGCTTCTAGGCAGGATTAAGTTAAGCAATAACAGTCTTATTGAAAAACAGCTCATAATAACTTTTGTGAAATTGGTTCAGCTCTGTTTTTTTTAAAGAAATGTGTGTCTGTGTGAGTACCTGAGCGCCTGTCCGGCTCAGCCCTGCTGTGGTGATGGTAGCTGCGTTTTCCCAGCATGCCGTGGGGGCCGTGTGGGAGAGAAGAGAGGAGGCGTCGAGGGGGAGGTGTCTGCAGGCCTGGGGTGCGGTGGGAGCGAGGGGCGTGGGCTGCCGGACGGGACTCTGGAAGAGACACCACACTGGAGCTGCATCAACTGGCTCCTACAGACCATCTGAATAATTTCTACTCACATTCCTGTGATTTGACACTATTATTCATAACAATGGAGCACAATAAGTCACATTTCACTGCTCAAACACTTATGTGTGTGTTGTTTTACCTAGAAACTGCAGAACACTGGTCAGAGTGCTCCTTTGGGCCGCTCTGGTTTTGGGTAGGCGAGTCCCCTGCCCTTCGGACACCCTTAACATGTCTAAACCAAACACACACACATACACACATTTTACAAACCAGTGCTGTATCTCTCAGACTGCATGATCCCTCTGCTGAGACACTGTCTGACCAAGAATACTAAATACTGTTTAACATTTCTGCAGACTCATGCAAGTAAAAACCAAGTCAGTGGGTTGGTAGAATTATGTCTACAATCAGTCTTTACTGTTGGTAAAAAGGTAACCTCTTTATGATTTGAACAAGGATGTCTTATGTAAATGAAAATAGACTCTTTAATGTTTAAAATGAATGCAGAGCTCCAACACGGGATGTAAATGCAGTCAATGTCAGTGTCTGAGGTGTTAATGGCGACTTACTTTCAGGGATGGCATGTCCACTAAAAAAATAATCTCTCCCACATGCAAATACAGAGATGTAAGTACATGCTTACATGCGCACACAAACAAAAACAAAAAACATATTGTAAATGCACATACATTAAAATATGAAGGTATTATGACAGCAGGCACTGAAGGTTGAGTCCATGCTGGGGGGGAAGGCGTGCCTCTATGGTTCCTCTGAGTGTGGTGGAGTTGATGGACAGATAACACGGGACACATGAAGCACAAGGACTCGGAAGAGATGCTTTCAGGTGTGACTTTATTGGAGGTCTACTCTCACATTCACACAGTGATGAAAGAAAAGAGCAAGAAGAGGTAGAAGATGAGATGAGAATATTGCAACAGTTGTTAGAAAATGAAGGACGAGGAGGCAAAGTGCAGGGGGAGAAATGGCTCTGAATGGCAAATCCTGGTCGCAGGATTTACAAGAGGCAACATGATGGATTCATATGAATATTGCATGATTTGAACACAGGAGAACAGCTGAGTGGATGGTATGGCGAGGGACCATCCAAGAAGACATGATGATGACTCCTTATGATTAAGCCTGATCTACAGTGGGCTATGCAGCCAAGCAAAGAAGTCAAGAGCAGCTAACTCTTTATACCAAGACAGATATGGTCCTTAACTTCAGCTACAACCTCCCTTCTTTCAAGTTTCATCAGTCCAAATCAGTCTAAAGCTTATAATTAACCAAAACACAATTCATTTTGTCTAATACACTCACAAAAAACACACGTGATTAACAGCATGAAAATGTGTGTGCAAAAAACAAAAATGTGAAAAAATGGTGATGGCAAACACACTGAAGCTGAGGTTCAGTATTTACAATAAACATTCGTGGCCGAGACAACTCATTCAGCCATGACAGCACAGAGTGAGCACGCCTGTGCAAGGGGCGCTGTGCAAAATAGAGCTTCTCTTAGTAAAATACATTTTCTCTACATCTAACTTCAGCAAATATACGGCTCAGAGTAGATTATGAGTTCTATTGGATCTTATTACAGTCTACTTGTTAATAATGGGAGTAAAATCAGTTATGTGTGTGCAGGCGTGCTCGTTTAGAATAGCCCTGTTCAACCAATAAATCTTTGTGTGTAATTTCAATAATGGCTTCAGTTCACAGTGACTAATTACCATAACAGATAAAAGAATAAAAAAATAAAAAATAAAAACACGAATGAAAAGATGATCAAAACTCATAGTTATGAGGACAGGCAGTCTTTATTGGAAACAGGGGGTGGGAGAATACAAAAACCAAAATAATAATAATAACAATAATAATAAAAACAGAAAGAGAGACAGACGGGGGGGGGCAGAGATGGGCAGAGATGGGGGGGGGGGGCTGATGGTGGGGCAGTCGGGGTGAGGAAGGGTGGTGAGTGTGTGTGTTTGTGTGTGTCTGTGCATATGTTGTGTTCTGTCTGCAGGTGTGTGTCCATGTGGCAGAAGTTAGGAGGAATTGAAAGAGCTCTTACACTCTGCCTTTATGGCCCCACAGTTAATGGGGACAAAGGGCCGGCGCGCAGCACGGCGCAGCCTGATGATGTCACGGCACATGTGCCGGGCCAGCTTGGTTAGGCGGGTGGCCTGCAGCAGGAAAGCCTGCTTGGTCTTCATGGAGGACTTGGGGCTGCCGCTGTTTCGCATTGGCACCATGTGGTTGGACTGACGAGGACCGTGACTCCGTGAGCGAGGCTCCTGAAAGGACGGACAGACAAAAGGCCACTGAATACAGCTCTAATGATAACAGCTGATTTGAAAACTGCTTTTAAAAGTCCCTGAAACTCATTTTCTTAATCAGTTTTTGAATATGAGTAATGTTGTTTGGGTTATTTACTTCCAGGCATTAATCGTCATGTTTTAGGAGGTGTTTACGGCCTCCAAAATGACCATAAAGTTAAATCAGAACCTTTCTGAAATCAGTTTAGATGAAAACAGAACAATATAACTTTCATGGAGGTAGGATTTAATACATGTCTGTTGTATTAGATAACTGGCACTGGTAAATTTGGGATCACAGCGTAGGAACAGGTTTACATCGCTATGTTTATTACACATTGTCCCTGCTGAGTCCAATGTGTCCACTGTCAACAAATCAAATCAAATCAGCGTACTGCTGTTCTCTACACAATGTCTATGTTTTTGCAATAAGAAACATCTACACATTATTAAAGATGTGGCGACACAGAAACTCTTAGCTAAAACAAAGCTCAAAGCTATGATGCAGTTTTATGGCTGGTAAAAAAAAACTTTTTTGGCAGGTGCATTTTCTCCATTTACCTGGCACTGGGAGATGAGCCAAAAAGTTTATTTTGGACCCACCTGGAACTCTCCTGTGGAAGAGGCTTATTTAACCCAGACACAGGGTGGGACTTTGGGTCTGTGTTCTAGACAAATCAATCCCTAACAAAGAACATCTGTAGACCAAAAACGTGCATGGGAAACAAGAATATAGCATATTTATCGGTATAATTTCCTAAATAATGTAATTTCTTTGGCCTTTAAATGTCAGTTACAATGAAATACAGGACAGATGTTGCATTGCTAGCTGGAGACATACAGAAACTAAATCTCCTAACTGGTCAGTTTTCTCACTTGGAAAAATTCATCCATGCAGTAAAAGTGACAGGTGCGTGAATGTTTTAACAGCTAATATGTGAGACACAGTATGTGATGTTTTGAGCTCAGTGAATAATTGACGTTGACAGCTCGAAACACCACATATATAATTGTATATAATGTTAAATTTAACAGTGCTGCAGCTGTGTAGATCAACATTTTTAGGAACTCATTTACGGTGCTTTTTTTTTTTTTTTTGCTCTGTAATCTTTCAAGAGCACAAGATTAGGGGATTCAGATTCACCCTTCTCCCCCACTACATCCCATTTTACATCTATTCCTTCTGACTGAGCTTACATTGCTTGCTGGACTGGGGGAGGTCCTCTCCTCGGGGGCCTCTGCTCTGCTTGGCATCTTCAGGCCTCCGTACTTCTTCCAGTACATCCAGCAGGAAACGCACAGGCGGCACTGCATGTTCGGAGGACCCCATGAGTACCACTGGGCCGACTGCATGGCTGTTAATGTACGAAACGCATTGATGAAGGTTTAAAGCATAGCTGGAGAAAACTGGCCCAAAGACACTCAGCATATTGATCTCTCTTCCACTGTCTCAAGTATCTCTCTAAATGATTTTATAAATGTCCACACATCAGACTAAATCACACTGCACTGCCTGCTATTGACTGAGAAGATGAGTACATTTATTAACCAGAAACTCTGTCGGCGAAGAAAACAAAAGCAAATGTGAGTGTACGGGAGGGTTGGGTATTGTTTGGATTTTGTTCATTCAGCTCATTCATATCTAATCCTGATTCCAGTGTTTAGTCTCTTATTGGAGCAAGAAATTAAACCACAATGTGATGAAAGCAAAAACCAGTCATTGGTTGTCATAAACAGCAATTCATCATATAATTCTGAGACATTTTGTGACTCATTTGTTTTAAGGTTGAATGGTTGCACTTCTACAACTTGAAACATAATACTTCCTGCTGGCTTCATCACCCAGGTGTCATTTTGAAAAACACAAGTGAGTATTAACGCTTTAGTGAGTTTCTGTTGACAGCAAACCAATTCATGCGTTTAAAAAGGTAGACAATAACACTTAATTAAGCCAATTTATCAATTCATTAGTTGATAGAAAAATTATTTATCATGGTGAAAATGTCCAATATTCTTTGCAGCTTCTTAAATGTGAGGATTTGGTCTTTTCTTTGCGTTATATCACCGTAAATTAAATACTTGGGGGTTCTGAACTGTGTTTTTTTTCCTTGTGAAATTATTAACAGCTATCAAGACAAATAAGCAGATAATTGGTGAGTTCAATAGTGAAAAAGAATCCTTTGGCTGGCTAACATTGCATTTATTTCCCTTTCATTTCTAATTGACCCCTGTTCACTGCCCTTGTGATTCAATTTCACAGCTGCAATGCTTAAACACACATACACACACCAAACTCACTATAGCAGCTCTCGCAGGCTCTGCCTCCGCCCGCTGCATGGTAGGCCCCAGGGCCCGCTCCATTCACTGTCGCCATCTTGCCATTGGTCATTGAGATCTGGTTGGGGTTGGGCTTGTTACTGTCAAAGAGAAGGAAGAGATTTAAGAAACAGACTTGACTGCAGCTGCCTTCTGCAGTGCTGTAAATCTCACCATATCAATTATGCATAAAACAATGATCGTCTTGCAGCCACAGGTACAGCAATGATACCAACGTCTATAAATGTGAAATGAAGTGACTTACTATGTGGGGATATAAACCTGCTTCAGTTTGCTCTCTGCCTCTGCTGCCTTCAGTCTCTTCTGCTCAGAGACAAACACAGTGGATTGATTCATTAATAAAAAAAAAGGAAATCAACAGCTGTCTCTCATAAAGATCCTCTCAGACAGTTTGACACCTTTCAAAATTAACTCTGATAGACAGCCTGAAAATAGGAGTGTAGGATGACAGATAATCATTGAATGCGTTCATGCATTTCAAAGGTGTTTCCCTTCTTGTCTTCTTGACATGTGATTGTTTGCAGCCACGTTCCACTGATAACAGCTGAATTACATAAAAAACCCTTTGGCACAAAAAGGGCTGACAATCATGTTATATATTTGGTCGATGCTCTTATTCAAAGTGACCACTCCTCTAAGAGCTGTGTCCCCAATAACTCAGCTCTCACTTTTGCTTATTTGACAATCTTCTAAGCTTTTTCTGTGCCCAAAATTTACTTCACTTCAGTTTACTGTGTTTTTTTTATTTTTATAAAAAGTCTGTTTATTTGTCACTGGGAGTACTACTCTGTCTGTAAATGAGCTGTTTAATGTCTTCTGTTGCTCTGGAGTGAGGGAGTTTACTCAAATCTGAAATAAGTGACCCAGATGATGCCAAATGACAAAATGTTTGACACAAAAACTGCCTGCAGGCGCATTGACTTTCAAAGATTAGGCATTTATCAGGCAGGTGCTATTGAGTTGCAGTATGGGAACATTTTTACATTGTGAGTCACAGTACAGACTAAACTTTCTGAGCTCCTGCTACATCGATTCTGACTATTCTTTCTTTAATTGGTCTCTCACAAGTCCTCCAACTTAATGAAAGTGCAATACTAAATCACTGGAGTACCCATTTCTAATGCAGCAGCCAATAAAAGTAGCGGAAAGGACGTGCAGAACATAACTACAGAACTATGTAATATATAATTTTAAGATCTAAAGGCATAAAAATAATTTGAACTGAAAAATTTACTTTACGAAGTTAGAAATGCAAAAAAAAAAAAAAAAAAAGAAAGGGGGCTATACAAATGTTTTATGAGGTAGGCTACAAGGATGCACACAATGTGTTTTAGTACGAAACTGCAAGTAAACGGAAACTTTCTTTACAAACTCCACAGGGCACCTTTCAGCCTTGGAACTAAAAGGCAAAAACTGTCCACATCACAGCAGAAAGCCCCTTAAAATGTATATATTTTGTTTTTATGAAAATACTGAATTAGTCTCACCTGTTGCACATATCTGTCTGTGGTCTTCCACATGTAGTAGTACTCTATGATACTAGTCAGAGACTTCCATGGCAGCTTCACAAGAGGAAAGAATGAGGAAGGGTGGAGAGGAGGGGCAGGGGGAGAGAGAGAGACAGACCAAATTAATGATATTAATATCTCATGTTCTTGCCATCTGGGTGCGAAAGCCTTCATGTATATTCATGAGTTAGAAGCATCGTGACCAGAGTCTGAAAGCTACTGGCTTTGCTTGGCTCTGAGCCCCAGACGAAAACACGCACTCTCACACAGACATACACACGGCAATTCACACATTTAATAAGTATTCATGAGCACCTGGTGCCACATACAGCCATATCCTGCCTTTATTGTACAGAAGAGGTAGATGGTGGGAAGGAAAGTTCAATAGAATCAAATAATCATTCCCCTCAGGTTTGAAGGGGGCTGCTAAAATTGGTGATTTTGTTCTTTGCAGAACAGGATGTGTGGTCAGCTTGAATCCATGCAGACTACTGGATTCCCATTGTGGCAAGTTTTCACTGAGTATGAAGGAAGTACCAAAATATCCATAGAAACTTCTCAAATCACATCTGCAGCATAATCAAACTTCTCCACTTTCCATCAGTATGAAAATTAATTTTCAAAAGGCACATTTTCCAACAAAATACAGCTCAACACCGCTTCTGTTCGTAGCTGTCATAGTGAGCGACCTTCGGTCACTAGCAATTATCTTTGCTTGAGTTTATCACAAGCACTGGAGGAGTGACTTGAGAATGTTTTAATACCTTTATTCCCCAGCATAAAAATCTGAACAGCCATGTTTCAAGACTGCAAAGGGTGAGCAGGTGAACGTCCGAGAGTACGTCATAGATTTTTCACAGGTTTTTTGGGGTGAACTGAACAGAATTACTAGTTTTTCTCTGGTAAAAACAAAAACGTAAATGCAAGAACAAGGGGTAAGAGATTAGCCATATTTAGAGCTGACTTTGCTCCTTATATCTTGCTTTGAATCGTGTGAATTTGCAGGTAAAATCATGATTGACTACATAAAAATATCATGAAAATATAACATTAAAAACACCTGAACACCAGATACTAAAAATAACTAAATTAAAATAAAAGGTATTATTTTTGCATCAGGCATCATTCAAGTCACCTCATGCAGTTAGCTGTTGCAGATGACTGACATCCCATTACAACAAACTGAACGAAACACACACTTACAAAGTCTTGTCGGATGTCGTTGAAGTCTTTCCCGTATTTCTCTAGTGCCTCTTCGAACATGGCGGCTTCCGAGGCACTCCACTCCTCCATTTCATCCCTGCAGAGCACGGGGCCGCCTGCTGGGACCAGTACACTCAGCGCGCTGGACAGGTCGTAATTATGGCGATGCAGTGTGTCCATCGCATGGAACTGCAACCGACAGACGCAGAAAAAGGAGTTAAAATCTATCATTAAAGTCAGGTAGTGCAGTGTTATGTGCCTTTATTTGTGTCCAACTCACCAGTGTGATATCTCGTGAGGCTGCAGCTGCACTCATGTGTAAGCTCGGCTGTCTAACTGAACTGCTGCAGTCCAACGCTCGAGCAAAGGTCCCAACCGCCCTGAAAAAAATACACAACCACATACATTACTATCATACAGAATATATATGTATATAAAACACAGTAAGATTCATGGACCAGTTCATTACAGCATGCCTCCAGTAATAGGGAGCAAAAAGTGATGCAAAAACAGAAATGAGCTGATCATAAATCAAACAATAATTTGTCATGTAATACCTGATATAAACACAAATCTTGTATTATTGTTTTTAATGCAATTTTCAACCATGTTTAATGTAAAAAGAAACTGCGATAAATTCACACCAATGTTTTTGTAAAATAAAATAATAAGCCCTACATTAAAACTATCCCTCAAACAACAATGTGCATTTATTACTTTTGCAATTATATTTGCATTATCATCCACGAAGAGGAAAATAATGGCAGTGAATTATGTAAGTGTCACTGCAGTAAGGGCTCTAATAGTCTAATACTTTAATCAAATTGTTCCATCTGCCTTTTAGTGAGTTTAAGTGGCTGCAGCTGCAAATTGGAGGAATCAAATTCACAACATGCTGTTATATGAAACTGTTTGGTCGGGTGGTTTGTCAGCGTAGCGGTCAGAGGTGAAAGGTCTTACCGTGCCACCACTAGGAATTGGTCTATCTGTTTGTTGGTGAGTGGACACTCTGGATCCCACAATTTCTCTTCTAGCTTGGACTGGTCCCTGTCATCTGCCTCACCTGCAGGACACACAGAGACAACAGCTTACACACAGCACAGGAGCTTGAACACAAGCCGAAAGTTGAAAAACTGAATAATATATTTGTTATTTGCTTGATATTGTAATTGTGATAATCAACTTTTCTGGTGGAGCTACTATCGTTAAATGTCCACATACTATATGCTGGTACCAGACAGCACTAAAGTTAACTGTGTACATATAATTATTTTATTTAATATCTTCAAAACATTACTGATTTTAGACTTTCAGTTCTACAGCTCTAAAGAAATGCTTTCAGTGAGCAAACTGCAAAATTAAAACCCCAAAATGTGTAATATTTAACAACTTTGTTTAAACTAGCAAGAAAAGTAAGTCAGCTTTTCTGTAATATTGACTGAAGTTAACATTAATACTTGACCCAAAAAGCCACTATTAGAACAAAGCCTTCGTATGTTCACCCTTCCAAAAATAAATAAATCACATGTGAAGTGAATCATGTGCACTTCTGACTGACCCTCTTGTAGCATTTCAGGTACGTCTGCCTGAAAGCGCGGTCCCACTCTGATCTCTCCTTTGTCGGCCAGAAGGGTCTTCTGTGTTGGGTCATACACCAACGAGTAGAAGAACGTATCCTGACGAAAACAACAAGATCAATCAGCATGCATATTTTAAGTTACAGGCTTACAAAAACAATAAAGGAAAGTTTTAGTAGGATGATACTGATGATTAATGAAAAACCTGACTTTTTCTAGAGCGGGAATGAATAGTTGTTTAATTGATAAGTCAAACGAGAGAATAACAATTGGCAACAATTTTGATAATCTATCGTAATATTTTGGTTCCAGCTTTTCGAAAGTGAGTATTTGCTGTTTTCTCTTTATTATGGGATAATAAATTAGTCCTGAAATGTTGGTCGAACAGAATGAGCAATCTGACACCATTCTCATCGTCTTGGGCGTTAAAAAAAGTTGTATACTGCATATTTCACATACATTTTATGGACTAAATGATAAATTAAGAAAATAAACAACTGATTACTCTACAGTGGAAGTAATAGTTACAAATAAAGCATATAAATTATGACCAGACTTGCTATGACACTGCAGCAAGCAAAAACCAGTAAGAGATGACAATATTTTTTTTTCTTTCTAACTCACCTCTTTGTCAAGGTATGAAAGAACGGCTTCAGTCTCGTTCAATAATGCGACACTGCACTTCCCCCTAATAGGGAGAGAGGAAAAGAACAAGTACCATGTCAAACACAGGAAGTGAGCAGCACTCAATTCGTCTGTTCATGGCTGGATGAGTGACTGTCGATGGGCACTGCCTGCATATGAGGGTCCAATATATGTGTGAGTCTTTGTACTGCACCTGATGTGTGTCGCAGGTAGACTCTCATACTGCCGGGACAGGAAGAGCTCTCTGTGGCGAAGCTGGTGTTTCTGTTTTTCTGTTAAATCTGTCTCTGTCGGACTCTCCTTCTCTTCTTCCAACTCCTCTGCAAAAAGGCACAAAGAGGAAAAAATGACATCAGAAAACATTTTAATGATGTTAAAAATTAGGAATTTGTTTTCAGCAGATACAATAACTGATAATTGTCTGCTTTTCATGGCCGATACCGATAAGACAACCCATCATTTTATATTTTTGTATTTCAAAAAGAAGCTCACCTGTAGTTTATGCACAGCTGAGGGTAAGAAAGTCTAAGATGTAGTGAGCAAAGATGGAGGATTTAATATTCCATAGCTGTGTTTTAACTAAATCTAGACAGTTCTGACTCTCCAAATGTTCATTTATTTATTTATTATAATAAGGAAGATCAAATTATGTCACAAACATACTGTGGCTTTAATAGAACATAAAGCCTATCAACTGTTTATAATCATTATTATTATGAAACGAGGATTTATTGGCTGTAATTTAATTTAGTTGGATAATTCATAATAACATATTTTCCATTATCGGGCCCCGATAATTATCGTGCATTCCTATTAAAATGGTATACATGTGTCACAAAGGCAAGTTGAACAAAAGATGACACAAGAGACAAGACAGTAGCTTACTCGTGACGGATAAATTACTGAACAGATTATAAAAGTTACAAATGGTTTCAGCCCAACTCCTCCATTTATCTCTAAGATTTCATACAACCCCACTTAATGATATTCCATTACTGTGCTGCCTTCACATATAAAACAATAGGCTGGTAAAACGGCTCTCGAGGGCTTTGCAATCACAAACTATTGATGCCATCCATTAAAGACACCCAAGCTATTTGGCTCACGCCTATCACTAGAAATTTAATTTTAAGAACACATCCATAAACACTGGATTGGCTGGTTTGCTGAGACTGAGTCGGCACATAATGCCACACAGCAGATAAACATTTTAAATCCCTGTTAACACAGTGCAGGCCTGTATCTAGAGAAAGATCCTCTGCCACTAGCAACTACCTATTATTACACCAGTTGTTTTCACAAGCTAGTATTGGCACTAGTACAGCGTCACAGCCCTGTTAGAAAATCGTACAGGGCCCCAGATTCCCTATTTCCACTGTACCAATATATATCACACTCTAAGCTGCCAGTATGCTTCTTCAGAGGTGCTAATCGGATGGTCGAACAGTTCTGGAAGAACCCCTCCCCCCACACCTTTCTGTAACTTTCCGAAAGTGACAATCTCACACCCACTTCACACTGTGATTGGCCAGCTGTGCAGAGGTGAGGAGCCAGAGTTTGAATTTCTTTCTTTCTGAGTCTTCTTTCATGTTGAGTGCAACACTATGAAGTCTTCCAGGAGAGAGATAACGTCTGAAAACATGTGCCGTAATCCACAAATTTAAAACAATACTGGATGTCCTCCCTCTCACTGAATGACTATAAACACTTGTGATTACCAACGTGGTCGGACACGTCGTGCATTTCTGTTCCAGTATAACCTGCCCCTTAGCTGCACCGTGGTTTGACAGGCTGTGACCGTGTGCTTTTTTCACAGTGGCCTCACAGCAGGGGATAACTCTGCCAGAGCTAAACCCTTTGGAGCCATTTAGGCCGACAACGGCTCCAGATGAACAAGTATGACAAAGACAAAAGTGTTTACAGTTGTTCTGAACAGCCTCTTCTGGCGGGCTGTATTGTACAAATGGGAATAGTGACAAACACTTTGTGACAGTCTTCCTGGAAGGCATTCACGGTGTTGCACTCATTTGTACAGAAAAAGGGATGTAAATAAGAAAGTGCTTGCTCTCTCACTTCTGCACACACGGCCAATTGTTGCACACAGCGCCCGCCCAATACCAACATCGTATCGGTGTGGGGGAACGGGGTTTCAGATGCTGTATGACCCCCCCCCGACAGCACTTCAGTTGAAGCATGACCCCTTGAGTTCATTCAACAGAGCAGTGTCTCTTTACGTTCAGATTTTAGTGTAACATTGTCTCTTTAGAAATGCATTCTCACATTATGTTGCTGTTCTTACTTTCATCCAACAGATAGCAGCCTCACTGTTTGCTGATCGTCTGCTCTCCTTTGATATAGCAGAGTGTAATTGCTGTGTAAAGACACAGCTAATGGAAAGTTTTTGGGTTTTTTTGCTGCTGCTGCCGCTTCATACTAAGAGCTTTCCACTAGCAAACCACTGTAAGGCAACTACAGGAAGTCTACATTAGATCTGTCACTGAGGTTAGCGAGTGGTTGGTACTTTAAAGGTCTTAACGGCAGGGTATGGATTTTAACAGTAGATGTGTAAATACATTAAAATATTGCAAGGTAGGAATGGTAAAAGGAGAAGCAGTCACAGGTTCTGTTGAGTTTTTTTTTTTTTTAAATCCAATTTTGAAATGCTTTGAATGCCGCAATCACAGTTCTATTCACCTCTATTGTGTTGGTGAGGCAGACGCAATCTCAGTGGCAGATACTTTGAAATACTGGCAAATAAAACTACCTGTATGGCTTGATAACAATGGGGGTAGGTTGAAAAATGTGTATTGTTTCAGAGATTTGGGTGCCAGTGACCAGTTAACTCTCCTGTAGAGCCGTAAGCTGTTGTTTGAGGACTTGGGCTACAATGAATAATCAGCATGACAGACAAAATGGGTGCAAATTTTGCAAACGGGGGCTCAAGAATCACTCCGCTAAGAGCACTGTTGCTCCCTTCAGACATGTTTACCCTAATTTAGCAGTAAACATTCAGAGCAACACGCCGATATTTTTGTATCACAACTCAGCACGCTATGTTTTATTTCTGTAAGTCAGATTTACTGGCTGTCCTTTTGTTTTCCCTTAAACTAATCTGAGCCATAAATTGTGTGAATTCTTATTTTATTTTTTTTTAAACAGTGTGGTAGGCAGTGTTAAATTTTATTGTTGTTTCTGTTTCTTCTGCTGACCAGCTGGTAGATGACTGACTCCAAATAGCTCAAAGAATTGGCACTGTGCTGCGATTAATGCATATGTCCCTGCATATTGTATGGTTTATATTCTTGTGCTTACAGCTGCTTTATGTTTACAGAGTGTAGGCAAATCAGCAAAACTGGTTTTCCACAAACGCTCTGACCACACAGAGAGAATAGTATTTAGCCACACAATACATTCCTGTCTTTCTTGTCAGTCTCAGTCATATAAACTTTAGAAACCATTCTTCTGAGTGTCTGGGCTGCTTGTCTTGTCATCTCAGTCATCCTCCTCAAAGTTGTGGGTTTGCTTTGGCAGAGGGGAGTTTTTTTATTTCCAGAAAGTGATCAAAAATTTGTTTTATTCTGACCAAAAGGACATTGTGAAACATCCCTGGAAACAGGTAGAAGGCTTCCCACACAGAACAGGTGTTGTTGTGATAACAACACCTTCCTTCTTCTCCTCATACAACCACATTCACACTCCAGTTCTCTCCCTCCGGGTAATAAAGTAATTGAGAAATAAATGTGATACCTAAATATGAATAGTGGCATATTTTCAAGTCGCACCGCAGTGCCTATTTATGCAACTGAACGGTTGCACTCTGAAGCCGTGGTCATGAGAAAAAAACCATATCATACTGAAAAGAAATGTTACAATGTGCAAAGAACGTGCTGGAAATGTCTGACATGTAGCAGAAAAAGCCCATAATGACATTACCCTCACTGAGGATGGCTGAAAACACAAACCATACAGTTTCAGGCTGGTGCTACAGTGCCCATTTGTTACGTCATAACTGAGCAACAACTGATATCTAATAATAAATTCATTGTTATAGCCATTTATCAAGATTTAGAAAGAAGAAAATTCAGATATTCTCACTTCACAAATGTGAGGATTAACAGCTTCTTGTTTTACATTGTAAGTATTTGAGTTGGGCTGCAACTAACATTTATTAATGATTAATCTGCCAATTATGTTCTCGATTAAAGGTCCCATGTGTAACATTTAGGAGGATCTATTAGCAGAAACTGAATATAATACTCATAGGTATGTTTTCGTTAGTGTGTAATCAAGTTAATATAGGAACTGTTGTGTTTTTGTTACTTTACAATGAGCATTTTATATCTACAGACGCCAAGTTGAACCGCAGTGTTTCTACAGTAGCCAAGAACGGACAAACTAAGTTTTCTCATAATAGTTTCTCCTACACACTTTTACAGCTCATCCTTAATCCCAGGCTATCAAATACAGACGCGAGCAGTGTTCAGTTAGTTGCAATCTGAAACTTTACTGCTAGATGACACTAGTTCCTACACACTTTAATCGTTTAGTCATTACATACATTTTTTTTGTACCACCCAAGATGATGGAATCAGATTGCTCCACTTCAAGACTAAAAGATTAAACTAATTTGATTCACCAATTAATTGTCTTGTCTATAGAATGCCAGAAAATTGTAAAATAAATAATAAAAAATCTCATTTAAATGGCTTGTTGCTGTCAGACCAACCATCAAAAAACATAAAAAGCAGAAAATCCTCACATTTGTGAAGCTAAATCCAGCAAACGTTAAAAGAAAGTCGATTATCCAAATTACCCGCTGTCTAATTGATTAATCGTTTCGTCTCTATATTTGTGTGTAACTAATAGAGGGTTTCTGCAGATTTTAAAGGGTTAAATTTAAGAGCATTTAAACTCGTGAAGACCATTATAAATTCAATTTCAGACCGTTTTTATGTCCATACTGGCAAAAAAAAAAGGTAAGGAAGGATATGATAGAAAATCAGTCTTGGTTCTATGTCAGTTTCGTTTTTAGTTGTTACAGCATGATCAATACAAATATTTTCCAAAACACACTTTTAAAAGCAAGACTGCAACTTTTTAAAAGACCTGTCAAATTCATATTTAACTTAAATTAACTCTACAGACTCCCTGTAATATAAAGAGTGAGGAAACTGCATTGTGTCTTACAACACTGAACTGCTTTTAAAGAGACTGTAACTGTTTCATTCATGGGATACCCAAACAAAAGGTTGTAGGTCCTAATATTTGACTGGAGTTACTACTCACTTGCATGTTTGTCTGCGAGCTGGATGAGGCTGTGGGAGATGTCTCTCCTTCTGTAGAAACAAACCACCTTGGCCTCCACATTCCCACTGGCCGTCTGAAACAGAGAGGGTACAGGGATCCAGGTTGACTGAGAAGAGGTGGCAACACCTCCCTGTACAAAGCTCTAATTTCCCAAGAGACCTGGCTCCTTTGTGTGCTCGTCAAACTATGCTGCTATGACAGGCTGACCAAGGCAGCAACAGCGCTTTTGATCAGATGATTGATTGATTGTCTCGCTGTATAATTAAGCCAACAGGCTTTAAGACTCAGCTACTATTAAATGCTGTGACTGATGGAGAGTGAATGGATGTCGCAGTATGAGTTTGAGAAAACTGCTTCCAACTTGTGCTGCTTTTTTTAAAAGGAGCTTGTAGGTAAGAGTAGCTGTATTTAATGTCAGTGTTCACGTGAATGATATGTACAAAATAACAGGAATGCCTCATAATGTATTGCAACACAATGCAACACCATAAGCTGTGGCCATGAAAATGTCCATCGAGCAGAGCCAACCAACCATTCTCTTTCAGCCCCAACACACACACAGGCCAACTGTTTAACGTTAAATCAAACTGCAGGCAGTTCCTGTTATTTTGTCCACCCAGACCTTTATCACTTACAATAATCACAATTCTTCTAGTCTTTATTTTATAAACGTACAGCTTCAGTATGTTTTTTTTTTTTTAGGCTGATACTGCCCTGATATGACATTTTCCCGCCCACATCATCTGATAATCACATGCATTTATCTGAGTATCTTAGTGCAAATGCAACACAGGAAAAAGCTATTCTCACATGCCTGTTGAAGATGCTTATATATTATTTAAACAAAAGACCGTATCAGTTTTGGTCTGTTCTTGAGTGATATAAGTGACATACTGGTAGGAAGCTAAAACAGGCAACTCTTCATCTGATCAAATATAGGCAGAAAAAACATGAAACCATTTTGTTTTTCAAATCTGGTATAAGCAGCGTCTTTAGTGCAAAATCTTCATTACAATTATCTACCCCGCCTACACATACACTCCCACAGGTGTGTCCTATAATATCAACGGCAGTTAGGAGACCGGGGGGAACACCTGTTGCATTCAATCATATTAAAAACACTTAAAACTGCCAAAATGCAAATACACAGAACATTGCAAAGAAGGGGGTGGAAAAAGGAAACAGAGGAATCCTAGCTATTCACCCTCAGGCATAAAAAGTCATAAACACACACACACAAATGACTAGAAAACACCTCATTACCTTGTTGAGTTCTTCTATCCGGCGGATCAGGTAAGGGTTACTGGAGGAGTTCTCAAAAAATACATAATCTGCAACAGAAAACACACGCCCATCATTTCACTGTATCAGATCTCAGTGGCCACTTTATTAGATACACCTGTTAAAATCAAATCCAGTCCAGAAGCTCAGTCGTAAATTACACCTTTGCTAACGTTCAGTTTTGATTAACAATGTCTGAGTGGTATTAATTTAACTACATCTCTATCAATGAGGGTGTCGGTAAATGGTGATGTAACAGTGTCAACAAGGACACTCAACAAGCGCAGGGCTGCACATTTAATTAAAATATTATCAAAACTGCAATATGGCCTAGTGCAATAAACAAGTTGCAAGAGCTGCAATGTTTTGATAAAAGGTAAAATAAGTGACAAAACAGCGTTATAATGAAGTACTGTAGCTCTGAAGAGATGCCCTGGCCAATAAATCTTGTTTGGTACAGAGCCTCCCCCCAAAACAATTCACATCATCATGATTTTGTTTACTTTAATGTGCTGCCCTACATTAAAAGGTCTGCTCTATGCCCATATTTGTGGCATTAAATTGTATAGGTGTACCTATTAAAGTGGCAAAGGAGTGAACGTATATATCTACGTAGGTATTACAACCACCATCCTATTCCCAGTTCTCCCTTATTTATTATATACGTCATTGAGCTTTATGGTTCACTGCTACGGTGGAGCCCAAACTACAAGCATGCATATCTGAGTGAATAGAAAGGAAAAAGAATAAAAGAAAAAAGTCATGACTACAGCAATTGTTACATCTAGAGGACGAGGTTAAAAACAGATGTGGAGACCATCAATATACTGGGTAATTGCAATGAGCAAGCACCACAGAGACTATCAAAAGGGTCAAGAAAAAGGCAATTATATGTGTGCTGAAAGGTTTTAAATGCCTGTGAGCCAGTTACCACACTGTTATGGTTCTGTAAAATAAATAAATTGAGGACAACGATATATCTAAGTCATAATTTTCCATTGCTCATCAACAAAATCAGCATAAACATGACTTCACCTAGCCCGAAGAGTACAGAAATCCACCCTAATTCAACTCTGCCTGGGCAGAATATACAGTAACTTCATAAAACTTCAGTCCACAGAAAATGCTGCCTTTGAGCGCTGCCTGAAATATTGTAAATGCAAAGACTTCTAGACGCAAACAATTCAGTGAAGAGGTAAATATGTCAGGTGACATTCAGTCAGTGCACATAAAGGTGACAATTGTCTGCCTCTAGATTCAAAATATGTGTATCACATAGATAAACAGATTAAATTCCAGCCCTGACACATATATATATTATTATTATCTTCAAATTGCCAGTGTTGTACAAAGTAGGAATCAATATATGTATGAAGAAAGACCAGTATCATGACAGATTTGTTATTAATACCTTTTTAAAAAAATAAAAAACTTCAATGCACCAACAAGTTTCAAGTTCTAAGAGTTGGGAGTTTACAAAAAGCACTTGAAGGCAGCAGGAGGACTGCAGCTATAATGAACAACAAAGTGACACACAATGCAAATAAACTGATAGGGGGCCATTGATAAACCATCAATAACATCACCTGGGCAAAAGATGCACAATGTCTGTGTTTAAGTGACATGTATCTTTTACTAATTAAGCTCCCTCGCAGTGTTAATGCAGATTTTGAAGCCCCCCCCTTTGTGTAGGGGTTGAACAGGAGGTGTAAGGTTTAATCCAACCTGACGCAACGACGCCATGAATCGAGACTATAATGTGATGTTGAATTCCAGTGGACTGCTAACAAGCTAACTAGCGAGCAAAGCCAATTTCGCTAATTAATTACCCTCGGGGGTGAATGTAGGTGAACAGTGGGGCAAATACCCGGCGCATAAGGTCACCAAGACTGCTGGATGCATTGCAGAAATACTGTAAAACGAGCGCCACGGCTACAATAACGATAATGAGTGGAGCCATTACTGGTGCTAACGTTAGCTAAATAAGGACTCGTACTAATGGCTGCATGCCAGAAGAGGCAAATACAAAAGGCAGCCTCAGACTGCCCGTGGTAACATTTTAACAACCTTTACAAAACACATGTGTAGTCAAGAGGTGTCTCTGTGTATCAGTCCTCCATATCCCCGCTCTAATTATCCGACAACTAAAGCCCAACAGAAGCTGCAGACAATTTAAAAAATGTTTACATTGTGAGCTAGCTGTTTAGCAAGCTGGCGGCTAGCTGCTGTGGCCACGACAGACGCGAGGCCTGACCCATTTTGAATCCCAAATATTTAGAAATTCTCACCTTCCTGCTCCAACTTAACGCATCTCAGTGAGTGTAACACAACAGTAGCACACTATAAGACGCAGAAAACACAGCTACAGTAACGCTACATAATCCCCAGAGGGCTGCAAAAACTGTATTGCATTAAAAAATTAAAAAAAAAAAAAACAAAACACAGGGTTTCTGTTTGATACCCGAAAAAAAAAAAAAAAAAAAAAAAGATCCACATTGACATACATACCTCCGACCCGGTACATGTTGGCCGCCATTTCTGCCCTCCCGGAGTGTTAACGTAAACCATAAACTAAGAGGAATAGAATAAATTAATAAAAACAAATAAAACTCAGTTTCTTTAAAAGGTGTAAGGTGCGATAAATTAGGATCGTCGAGAGACTCCGGATGTGCGCCCAGTCGGGAGAAATTTTGGCAAATCGACCCCCCCTCCTCCTAGATTTCACTGTTCCCTTTACAATACAGTGAACTCACGGCAGCCAAAAGAAGTCGGATCAACCCGAAAAACCACTGACTGGTGACGTCGAGAGGGGGGCCCGCGCACGCGCAAACACAAGCACAGACACACAAGCACAGACACACACGCACAGACGCACACACGCACACACACAGACGCGCGCATGCACGCACAGAAACACGCCGCCGCACTGGGTTGAAGGAAATTAAAACAACATTTTAGGGTGCGTGATTTATTCTTGTGTTGTCTTATGTAATCGTATTTGTGATAGAGGTTTATTTGTTTTAGTAACAGTGGAAATATATTTTAGAAGCAGATTGCTTGATATTAAAGGAGACATTGAGGTAAATTAGTATAATAAAAGGCATGTTTAATCGCAGAAGCTGTAGTTTTTTGGGTAAAATGTGGGATAAACAGCATTAAAACCAAAGTAGTGTAGGTGCTGAATGTTTTTTATTTGTAAGAAAACATAATGTGACATGATATGCTGATTTTAGTAGGTTTTTTTCAGCGAGAATTTCCTTTTCTTTATACAGAAATTATAATTTCCACACATCGTTTTTCGCAATATATGTGGAAAGAATAAAAAAAACTTAGTAGCTCTGTTAAAGTTCAAGATGTAAACTATCATTGGCTACAATTGAACAAGTATTGTGCACAAAGCCCTAAATATTTATTGTATTTTACATGTTCTGTGTGTGTGTGTGTGTGTGTGTGTGTGTGTGTGTGTGTGTGTGTGTGTGTGTGTGTGTGTGTGTGTTTCCGTATGTAGTGGGAATAACCTGTAAGATCCATCCATAGAATATACTTGTTCTGTTTCATATCTATGGAGACAAAAATCTACTTTGGACATAGATGTGCGCAAATTACGCTCCAGTTTTCCCAGTATGAGTTTTTTTCTCTTTCCCGTGCGTGTGTCCTGCTCGCGCATGTGACATCATTGATGGGATTGGCTCCCCCTGTACTGGGGTGGAGAGTCTCTTCCACAGGCTACAGAGGGAGACGAGGAGGCGTGAGGGACGGAGGCAATAGTTTCCATCAGCCACGGAGCTCCGCGCAGAGCCACCTCCACTCAGAGCGAACCACGCCCCGGGGGACAGGGGAGACTGTGGGCCCCCCTAAGTGTCCAAACTCCTGTTATGGAAGCCGGAATGGACGGTGAAGAGGAGTTTTAGTCAGGGTTACAGGTTGACAAGATGAAGTTCGGGAAGAGCATCTGCGTGCTCAATGTAGGGGGAACCCGGTACGCCTTCACCCGTGAGGTGATCAGGGATTTCCCTCTCCGACGCGTCAGCCGCCTGCATGCCTGCGCAACCGAGAAAGAGGTTCTTGAACTGTGCGATGACTACGACCGGGACCGGAATGAGTTTTTCTTTGACCGCCACGCTCAGGCTTTCGTGTTTATCATGCTGTACGTGCGCTCTGGTAAACTCCGCTTCGTCCCCGGAGTGTGTGAGCTGTCCTTCTACACAGAGATGCTCTACTGGGGACTGGAGAGCGCGCACTTGGACTCCTGCTGCCAGAAACGCCTGGATGACAAGATGACCGAGATAGGAATGGACACTTTGTCCGAGGCGGACATCGGAGTGTCGGGGGATGAGCCCCAGAGCCCGGAGGAGCCGGGGCAACAGACTGCGCTTACAGGTCGCGCTAAATGGCTGGAGAAGATGCGCAAAGCATTCGAGGAGCCCAACTCTTCTATCGCGGCGCAGCTTTTGGCTTCAGTGTCTGTGATATTTGTGATGATTTCTATGATCATGCTGTGTGCAAGCACCCTGCCGGACTGGGATACAGCCAAGAGAAATACTGTGGAGGAGCACAGGTAGGTGGAAAGTTTTGAAGAATAGAAGAGACCCCCCCTTTCTTTTTAAGGATGCTGCTAAATGTTTAGGCGCAATGTGTGCGGCTATCCTGGATGAGACTGTGCGTAAAAGTCAGTGACTTAGTGACTTCATGAGCCCACCAGGCTAAATCAAGGAGACGTTTCTGTCACAATAAACACTGAATAAATAAACACACTCACAGACGCTGAGTCTCATGCGAGAGCCTGCGTGCGTTCAGGGCAGCGGTCAAACTCATTGCGCATTATCCATTTATTACCCCAAAGGTCGATGTATAGATGCATTTGTAATATTCTAACGTTTTAAAAACGTAAAACTAAAACAAGGTCAAAAACCATCAGTTTCTTTGAAGTAATAACAATAAAACAGATTTTAGAGACTTTGTCCTTGTGTTTAGGGATTGAACGCCCCTTTAGTCAATACAGCCCAATGACAAGTTTCAGGCAGCACATTAAACATTACCGTCACATGTCAGACAGGCTCCCAAGGAAGCCAATCAATAATCAATCCATATTATCTACAACAAAGCGTAGTGTTAATTATTACACAATACAGAAAGCCCTTCTTTCCTCTGTTTCCCCCCCAGTCTCTCCCCCCCTTCCCTTCCTTCCTCTTCACAATTCATTTGAATATCTTTATTGGCTTGGTTAGTTTACATTACACAGTACACAAGGAGGACAACCATATCAGATAGATGCCAGATTCATAATATTCCAGTGGGTAATAATGTTTTGAAAGAAGAACGTGTACTGAGGGATCATATTAGTATAAGCAAACAAATGAATTAAGCCACTTACAGGAATCACCTCCTATCTAAGTCAGTTTTTGGATACTTATTTTGGCTTTCTGGGCTCAAGATTTAAAAAATAAAGTGCACCTCTCTTTCCACATTATTTTGGCCACAGTCTGTCCTCTCTAAGAAGCCTGAGGCGGCCTTTCTCTATATAAGGCTAGGTTATGTTCACTCCAGCTGGACATAGTTTTGGATCAGTTGCAGTGGTTAGGTAATCAAATAAAAGTGTAGTTTATACTCGGGGTCAAAAGGATTCCAATTTAGTTTCATGCCAGTAGATGATACAATTCTCTCAGTTGCTCTATAATTTGGTTTGGTGTAATTGTGCTGATGTAGTTACCCCTTGGCTCTGTGGTGTTTGCTTGGCCTCGTTGCGTCTATGTCAAATACTAACACCACATCACTCTAATTCAGTTTGATTGCCTTTGCTGTGCTAATCAATGGGGTAATGGTGTGCTTGGTTGTGTCACACTCTCTCTTTGAAGGTTTTTAATCCCTCCCTCTGTGCAGTTTCCCGTCAATTTTCTAATCTACCGTCCCCTGTACCGTCTTTGTTTACTTGAGTCGACCCTGAATTGCGTGAGATGTCTTCCTTATTTGCCATAATTTGTCTCACCCCTGCTTTGCTTCCCCCGTCCTCACTTTTACTGATTGTCAAACAGTAGGCTATCTCACATTATAGCTACATATCTCTCTGCTGCTCCTCTGCCATTTCCTGTTTACAATACACTGTTTTTTCTCTCCTCTGCTCTCTATCTCTGTAGGATAGTGGAGGCAGTGTGCATTGGCTGGTTTACAGCAGAGTGCACAGTGCGCTTTCTGGTGGCCAGAAACAAGTGGGACTTCCTCCGCCGGCCACTGAACATCATCGATGTGATTGCCATCACCCCCTACTATGTCACCATGGCGATGGCCCGGGCAGGGATGCCGGGTGCCGGGCTCGGGGTTGCTGGGGTGATACTGCGGGTGCTGAGGATGATGCGAGTGTTCTGGCTCATGAAGCTGGCCAGACACTTCCTGGGCCTGCAGACACTGGGGCTGACACTCACACGCTGCTACCGGGAGATGGTCATGCTGATGGTGTTTGTCTGCGTCGCCATGGCGATATACAGCGCTCTGGCCCAGCTGCTGGAGCACGGCTTGGACTTGGGGACGCAGAACCCGGATTACGCCAGCATACCGGCCGCCGCCTGGTGGGTCATCATTTCCATGACGACGGTGGGATACGGGGATGTGTACCCTGTGACAACTGGAGGACGGGTGCTCGGGGGAATGTGTGTGGTGAGCGGCATTGTTCTGTTGGCACTGCCCATCACATTCATCTACCACAGTTTTGTACAGTGCTACCATGAACTCAAACTCCGCTCTGCCAGATACGCACGCAGCCTGTCATCAGAGATAGTACTGCAATGAACATGAGTTTATACCAAAAAAAAAAAAACCCATGGCTCTGCCCACATCGGAGAGAAAACTCAACAAACCAGTGGACCTGCTGATCCCATTGTGAAATAACGATCCACTTTGTGCCCTGCCCTGTTTCCTGCCTGAGCTGCACCTGATTTTATTTGGCCTGTCTAGTTCCTGCCTGTTGTGTTGATGATCTTCAAACATCATCTTAAACCAGCATGCTACACGGGCAGGAGAATAGAAATACAGAAATAATTATTTATTAACACACACATAAGCGCAGTCAATCCAGTTTTGACAGTGGCTGTTGTTTACACTATATTCCCATGGTTACAACATTGGCAGAGACGGCTGCTTTTTTGTATGCTGCATCGAGGGCTGTGTGTGTGTGTGTGTGTGTGTGTGTGTTTGTCTGGCTGTCAGCCTTTCACTTTGTCTACGCTTTTTCACCCAGATGGTACAAGTTACACAAGATGGATGTGTGACCTAGATGCATTCTGTTAAACCTGTGAAATAAAGAAAAAGAGTGAAGTGCAAAGTGGGAATGGAGAAAAAGGGGGTAGCCTACACAGAGGGGCTTAAGCCAGGGATAATGAAATATGGAGACAGGTCAGCAAGGACTATAAGGTGGCAGACAAATAGAGGGGTGATAGATATGACAGGGCAGATGGAGAGTGAAAAGGAGGATAGAAGATCGTGGGACCAAAAATGACAGCGATGACAGAATGTGGAGCAAGCCTGAGCACAAAGAATGAATAGACGAGTGTGTATTGCATCTCCGTTTGTGAGTGAATGTGAGGCATTTTGTATTTCTGCGTCTCCAAGGCAACCTCATCCTCCAACGTGTCAATCATAATGGTGGTTGATTTGTGTGCACACAAATAGGCCACATCCACGCAAGGCTGGCACGCAACATTTTGGTCATGCCGATTATTCGGAAAATGACTGAAATAGCTGAAATTCCTAAAATAAAAACAGAAAAAAAAACAGTCCAGGATGTCACAGATGATGATTATGACATTAATGATTCAGACATGTTTGCCTTGTCCTTGGTTTGGCAAGATAATATGATTTGTTGAAGAGACACATGATCCAAACAAACAAGTCAACACCTCTCCCACACAACAGTCTTTCTCCGCATCTCTTCTCCTCTTCCTCCTGTTGCCATCAACCATCCTCTTCTTATTACTATTTCTTTTATTTGAACCGGGACAGTGCACAATAAAACATTAACCCTGTATATAACAAGGAGAGATGCATTGCACCGGGTTTTAGCAAATTGCTATTTTCCACCCGTAGTCCCCTTTACACACACACACACACACACACACACACACACACACACACACACACACACACACACACACACACACACACACACTAAGCCATTGCTCTTCTGTTGCAAAGGAAATTAAACAATTAATGAGTCATTTTCGGTCTATCCTTCAATCTGAAAATCTACATTTGGTATTTCCGCGTAACATTCGCAGCCTTGTATGAGTTTAGTTTGTATTGTAGACAGCCCATATCTCAATAGACTTGTTTCTGTGTTATCAATGTGCTTTTTAAGTGGTATAGCAGTTACAAAAATGAAAGATAAACTATATTTTATGCCCTTCCCCACAACCCGTAATGTTCAACTCATGTGGCATAGCTTATAGCCCAGTGGCCAGGCCTGACTGAAACCATAAATTTAAAACTTTTTCATTAGTAGACAAAGAACTTGTAATTAATGTGATCAATGTATGAGCTTTTATAATAAAATTACTCTGAGCAAAGTTAATGTGTAATTGCTTATTATAAATCAAACTGTGCCATAAAAATTGTCAAATTTTAAGTATCAGACTACTTCTGCTTTCACAGAGTATTGATATTGGGTTTTCACACCACTTATTTCTAACCTAAAATAACCTTAACTAAACTAATTAACGCTACACAGTGTGACCTAGAGAAGTGACAAGTGGGAGATGGAGCTCGTTGTAGACTTGATGTGACGACATACTATTCACACCTCTAGACCTCCTGCAGGCAGTTGAACGTAATGTGTGAGAAACACCTGAGCCCGTTGGCAAGGGCATTCGGTGCACTCATCAGATTCACACTGGGATGAACATTGTGCCACAGTCTAGTTCACACACAAGGTACCATTATAAGGGGAAATCAACTCTGTATCACAAACTGCTGCAGCACTGTTCTCAGGATTCAAACTTTTTAATCATGTTAGATTCTCCAAGTCTGAAACTCTACACGTCACTCCAAAATCTGGTGTTCAGCTGAGGCAAACGACTCAGTAACTCCTCCTACCGTCGTATGGAAAGATCTGCATTTTCCCCCCAATCATTAATTTTCCTGCAGTTTTGTAGGTTGCCGCCTCTTTTCTCAGAATCAGGTTTATTGCAAAGTAGGTTTTTTACATATAAGGAATTTGCTTTGGTACGTTGGTGTATAACAATTAAACATATAAAATATAATACACAATAAAAGGAGCCAATATGTGCAATAGGGCCAAATATTTAAATAAATGAGTGAAGAGCTGTGCAGAAATGTGTTTCTATGTGTCTTACTGTTGTTTTAAGTTAGAAACCAAAAGGACTAATTAGTCTAAATCCATGCTATGCCATGTAAATGGTAAATTGACTGCATTTATATAGCACCTTTTTAATCTCCCGACCACTCAAAGCACTTTACACTATGTCACATTCACACACTGATAGCAGACGCTGCATTACAAGGTGCCAACATGCTCATCAGAAATTAACTAATCCCATTCACACACACTCATACAGCATCAGGTGCAATTCAGCATTCAGTATTTTGCCCAAGGAGACTTTGAAAGGCAGAAGGAGGAGCCAAGGATCTGCTGATGGTGCTGAGCAGGTAGGTCACAATGTTTACAATGAGGTCTGCAGGAAATTGAAGAAACCAATCTATTGGACAAATGTAAACTTTGATCCGGTGGCGCTGGAGGAAAGTCAGGGGACCACCAAGGTCATTGATTCTTTGGGGACCATGGTTATCCGCACTAAATGTGATGGAAATCTATTCAGTAGTTTTTGAGACATTTCACTAAAACAAACGCAACCTCAGGCCATTTACCTCATGGGTACAAGTCAATAAGTATTTCTACCAAATGTAATGGCAATCCATCCAATAAATGTTGAGATATTTCAGTATGATCAATATTGCCATGCATAAGCATTTGTCAGCTTTTACGTTTGCTGATAAAGTAGTTTAATTTACAATAAAATTGGCTCTTTTATGAGTAAAAAGGCTCAATTAATCAGTTATCAGTTTTTTTCAAGCAGATTTTTTACAACTTTTAGACATTTTTGTGTGCTTTGTTCATTTAGTCTCTGAGGACAGTCTGGACTTACACTTGTAAAACCTTTTTTTAAAGCTCAAGATATGCAGTGAAAGTGAACTGGGGGAGAGAGATAGATAAAATTACATGTGGACAAAGATGTTAAAAACTCTCTTTTCACAGCAGTCATAAGAATGAGAAACAGCATCAGTTTACACATCCATAAGGTATAATGTAAAGAAGCAGGTTTGTTAAATGTAAAATGTTTAATTTATGCAGGTAGGGGGTTTTCTGCAAGAAGACTGATGCATTCGTGTTACTGTAAAACATGAAACCAAAGACCTTTCATCTTTTTTTTTACCTTCGACCTTTTTAGCAAGTGAGAACTTTTGAATTTACTAAGGGTGTTACTTCCACTTTATTTTTATCACGGCTGCTCTAATCGTCTGTTGGTGGGGGGTTTTTGTTTGAGGCTATATATATTCTGAGGGGAATATTTACAGACAGGGCTGAAATTACTGCTCCCTCCTCTGCATGCTTTTCAGGAAAAAAAAACACCAATCAAACAACATCAACCATCATTATGTCTGTTGTATTGAGTAAACCCCTCCTCTGGTGCTCAATCTTAATTTTAAACAGGCAGCGTTGAGCCAGCTAACCCATACGTCACTTTCCCGCGGCGATCCCAGCAAGAAGCCCCTTTACCGGGTGATTTCTGTTGTGGGAGACACCTTCCCCCCGTCCTTCAGCAGTAAAATGTACTACAAGTTCAGCGGGGTTACCCAGAAACTCACGGGGACTCCTCCCGCGGCCGCCTACAGCCCTCAGGTGAGTCCGGGAGACGGCGTGTCGGTAAGAGAGCGACTCGGTAACCGCGGAGGATGACCTTCACATCATGGGGTTGGATAGTGAGCCGGTGCTGTCTCCACCGTGGGCTCCCAGTGCTCCCAGTGCTGTCAGGTCACTGGGAGATGTTTAAAGCCCGTGTGTGGAGTTGGATACGACAGTTGTGTAACCGCGGTGTAGAAAAATAACGGTAGTTTCCGATTTTATGACGCGGTACGTGAACGCATCATCTTCATCTTCATCTTCACTTTGCTTCAGCTCGCTCCAAATGTGTGCGTTACTTTTGAAGAAGTAATCCGATACAATGACTGGTTACCCGTCAACATATGCAGTCAGTAACCTCATCCAAGTATCATAATGTTAAAGTAACGTGTCTTCATTACTTTACGTTACTTTTGGACCTCGGTACCAAATGTGGAATTTAAAATAAAAAAAAGAGAAATTAAATGTAAATAATAAATAAAAAGGTGTTTTATATAAGGCAGCAGATTTAGAAAAGGAAGACTGGAAAGATTTCTAGCATCAGAAACGCGTCCTCTACTCAGCGTTACTGATACTTTAAAAGGTAACTGTAATAGATTACAAACAAATCCTGATTACATCACTCCGTTACTCCGCAAGCCAGGTCGCTGAAAGTCATCTGTGATTAGTCATAAAGTAATCTACCGTTGAGAGACTCTCAGACAAACCATAAAATAAAAAAAGCTGTGGCCTTTCTTTGAAAATGTAATTTCTTTTTTCATTACTTCCTTATCACAGAACCTTTATTTAACCTTCATCCTGGCCTTCATGTGACTTTAATTTTGAAATTCAACAGCCATCTTTTAGAGCATCTGCCAGATGTGACCTTTTTATTATTGCTCCTTTGTCCTTTACACTGCGGCCTCCTTGTTATTCTGTTGTAGCTGCCTTCAAGTTCTTCTGTGTCTCAGTTTCAAAGTCACTTATCCAACATTTTAAGATTTTCTTTGTGGGAGGAAAAAATGTCCGCGTTGCATAAATATCGTCTTTGGTGGGATGTAACTAAAGTACTTTACTTAAGCCCAAATCTGAGCTACTGTAATTATATTTTAGTATTTTCCTTTCTCCTTCCACGCCACTAAATAAAACACTTTATGTATTAGATTAAAGTTTTGAGTGCGATACATTGCTGACGTTAAACTACCCTGCCGTATATAAATGAGTTAGTTAGATATACTTGATTTATTAAGTTTGTATAGTATATTTTCCATTTGGATTCAGCCTCTACGGGTTGTGTTATTGTTTATTAGTGTGTGTGTTTGTGTAGTTTACAATGCTTTGTTTACTTGCCTCTCAGAGCTGTTTTCGACTCTTAATTACTCAAAAGTAATAAACTAAAAGAATAATATAACGATAATGGGTAATTCTGCATAATGAGTATGCTCATTTTTTATACATTTTGTTAACAATACTTGCATATTTTTTTACTTAATACAGTATTTTACACTGTAGTATTAGTGGATTAAACCATTTATCCACCACTAAATATTGTTATAGCCTCAGCCCAAATTCTGATCCCTGATATAAGGCGATAAAAAATCTCAGCTGTACCAGTAATTGTTGACATTGCCTCCTCTTACAGTGGCACTTGTGACGTGGCAACTGCATCTTTTCCCACTCACTCGCAATTATCTCCATTAAAGCTCGTCACGTGACCTCAACGCAGATCGATGGAGGCAGGTCGATAGAAAGGATGTTAGTCTGTCAAAAGGTTAAAAAATAGAGACAGACAGACAGACGACCGCAATCACACTTAGAGTCGCACCTTCAGGCGATGGAGTTTTCAGTTTACCTAATAAATAAAGGTGAATCTCTGTATTTCTGGTACAACGCACACAGATGAGTTCCTGCTGTGAACACTTTTAGGCCTTCTCTTAAATGGCAAGTAAAAATAATCTGCTGTCAGTGCCTCCGCAGTTTCATGTCAGGCTTAATTTCCCCGCACCCACACTATCTGCCTCCACACACTCCAACAAGGTATTGGGTCTCCCAGTAATTTTTCAAAACCCAAGGTGGCTGAGAAGCTTCTTCCAAAGTGAAAGGGATATTAAGGAGGGACACTTGTTCTTCATTAACACCACAGTGTCCCTCTGGTTTATTAACTTATAGTATTAACTCTGTAAGTTGAGCAACAGCAATGGCTAAATGGCTGCAGTACGGTTCCACATCACACCGATACCAAAAGAATTCAGCAGAAAGCTTACAAGAAAGACCAGTGTGGGTCTTTACGTCTATAGGTGTACACTGTGTAAACAGGTCTGGCTGCACTAGACAAGGAGTGTAAGAAATTGCTTACTGATATAACACTGAACAACTTCATACATAATGTAGTCTGTAGTGTTTGGACTGCTACTCGAGGTGCTCTTTAATAATCTAAACAGGTGCTTCAATAGTCTCACAAGTGCAGCCATAACTTGTGAGAGGAGATCAAGTACTCATGTAATCACTTGTATTCATGCATTGGTGTTAAGCTCAGTATAGTACCCACAGAAAAAACACCTGGACGTTTGTTCTATCAAATATAAATGAATATGAAAAGATTTAGTTCCTTTTTTAAGAGGTTTTTTTTATTTATTTTTTAAAAAAGCTAATGGAGACAATAAGATACTT